TAAAGACCATCAAAAAACAGATCTATAATCGATTGATTGTTAATTCTTTAAGTGCAGGGGTCAAAAAGTAGAGTAAATAAAAAAATTGTTTCAAAAAATACAGACTTAATTATAGTGGCATAGAAAAAACTAATGTGTATAATTAATGGAAAAAAAAAACTGTTTGGGAAAATTTTGGAGGAATCCAAGAATGTGCTCATTAAGCAAGCTGAACGATTTTGAATTTGAAAACAGCATCTTTATTAAGCAGCAGTGTGGATTCCGATCTCTTCATTCCACAGTCCATCAGATTTTGCGAATCTCAGAAAAAGTGTCCTTTGGATTTAATAACAACAAAAGCACTGGCATGGTTCTACTGGACTTGCGAAAAGCATTCGATAGCGTTTGGCATGACGGTCTAGTCCACAAGCTTCTACAATACAATTATCCTGTCTATTTAATTAAAATCATACATTCATATTTGAAAGACCGTACTGCTTTTGTCACTTGTCAATCAGCAGATTCCTTCTATTTTGATGTAACTTCTGGTGTCCCCCAAGGTTCGCTTATTGCTCCACACTTGTTTAATTTATTCTTAAAAGATATCCCAATTCCACGAAAAGGTCATTTGTCTCTCTATGCAGATGACACTGCATTCTCTGTTCAGATGGCATGGAAAAATTTGAAACCTATTAAGCTTGAACTTCTCAAAACTGTGAGTTGTTTGCCAACTTACTTTCAGGATTGGAAAATTCAAATCAATGAGTCTAAAACCGAATTCATTATGTTTTCCAAATCCACAAAAATGATCGAGAAAACCGCACATGATTCGATTAGCTTCAATGGTCAATTGTTTTCTTGGAAAGAGGCAGTGAAGTATCTCGGCGTTGTTCTTGATCGGAAACTGATCTTTAAACATCATATTGACTCATCCATTAACAAAGCCAGTGCTGCCAGTTTCTCGAGTCTATACTGCTTATTGAGTAGGAATTCCGTTGTCTCTACAGACTCTAAACTTAGAATTTATAAGTCTTACATCAGACCAATTTTAACATATGGTTGTCCTATTTTCTCGAATGCTGCAGCTTGCCATTTGAATAAGCTGCAATTATTTCAAAATAAAATTCTAAGAGTGATCCATGATGTTCACTGGTCTGACTTCAAATCGAACGAAATTTTACATAAGCTATCAAATCTACCTTCAATCAAAGCTTTTGTTACAAATGTCACTAATAACTTCTATGGCAAAATTATACACCATCCAAATGATCTCATCTCCTCTCTCGGTCAATATAATCACGATTCTCTGAGCTTTAGAGTAAAACATAGACTACCAAGAGCTTTGAATTAAGTCTATACGCTTAAATTAAATTAATTACTTATTAATGATTTTCTATTTAAACTTGTCTTAAAAAATTTTTTGGCTTTTTTTTAACATTTTTTCTGCCTAAACTTCATTGTAATTTTATATACTTTTCACCTCAAGCAATTACTCTTAGCTCCTTCACAAAATCACAATTGATTTAAAACCGATTAAGGTTAACATCAAAATTATTCTGTAGCTGTTCCGCCTTATATTATGTATTGAATAAAGGATTATTATTATTATTATTAAGAAGACCCTATGGTGGGAGTAGTTGAGCGCAGAGGACAAATCAGTGCTGATCTTGCTACAGCATGTCTTGATCAATTGCGGGTTGTTAATGAACATCCACGACAAGAGCAGCAAGTCCCGTCAGTACCTTTAATGCATGAGATTCTTACAAATAACCATATAATTGATCAAAACCATGAGCTTAATAATGAAGGCGATATCACAGCTCACTTATCGTCTCGTGGACGTGCAGCAGTTCTTCGTTCGGCCCGTAGTCGTGAACAAAACCCTAGAAGCCGTAATACACGACGTTCCCGTGCTTCTCGTCGTTAAATTACTATGAATTAAAATGGAAAAAAAAAATAATTTTTTTTTCCATTAATTATACACATTAGTTTTTTCTATGCCACTATAATTAAGTCTGTATTTTTTGAAACAATTTTTTTATTTACTCTTCTTTTTGACCCCTGCACTTAAAGAATTAACAATCAATCGATTATAGATCTGTTTTTTGATGGTCTTTAAATCATTTTGGATCATTGTTATTAAAAATTAAATCTTTGATTTGGAAATTAGTTTTTAAATTAATCTTGTTGAATTTAAAAATATTTAAAAAGCTGCAATAAATTTTAAAAAATTATTTAAGTGGAACAAAATTCTGCAGAATAAAGTTCTGCAGAACAAAATTCTGCAGAATAATTCTGCAGAATAATTCTGCAGAATAATTCTGCAGAATAAATTTAAAAAAATTATTTAAGCGGAACAAAATTCTGCAGAATAAAGTTCTGCAGAACAAAATTCTGCAGAATAATTCTGCAGAATAAAATTCCGCGGAATTATTCTGTCGGTCCCATGACCCTACGCCGAAGTGCTTTATTTAAATCACAACAAACTTCAGTCAATTGATTCAAACTGGTTCGAGAATCTGCAAAATTTAAGATGGCTGCGTCTTGATGGCAATCAAATTACGGAAATTTCATCAAAATGTTTTGAATCGCTTACAAATTTAGCAAAGTTATTTCTTGATGACAATCATATTAAAGATATTGATGCATTAGGCTTTTTTGGACTTGAACATTTGCAACAATTGAACTTAGATCGTAATTTTATTTCAATTTTACCACCTGAGGTGTATACAAAATTGGAAGGCCTGACCATTTTAAGCTTAAAAAACAATCCTTGCACGACTTTCAATTCTAAGGTTGGATCTGATTTGGATAAATGCTCAAGAAATGACAAGAAATTAAACGATAATGAAAAATCTAAAGATAATTATAACACGTGCAGCAAGATAATAACAGGACGTGGAACTATAATTGGTGGAAAAACAATTAATCATGGCGATTATCCTTGGTAAAATAATATCAATTCCATATTTTTTTTAACAAATAAAATTAAATTATAATTTTGATTACTTTATAAAGGATCGCAGCTTTAACAAAACGAAATGGAGACTTTTTTTGTGGTGGGACTTTAATAACGAACAGGAAGGTTATGACAGGTATGTTACTATCTGAATCGCTGCGCATTCAACTCGAAAGGCTGAGCCAATTAAACATTATACTTATTCAGGAACAGGGGCGTAGTCAGGAATGTGAAAATAGGGAGGGGGGCAAAAACTTTTTTGTATCGAAAAATCTTAGGAAAAAGGGGCAAAAAACTTTTTTGCATGGGGAGGGGGGAAGGGCAAAAACTTTTTTGTATTGAAAAATTGGGGGAGGGGACTTTTTTGCATGGAAAAATTTTAAGGAAAGGGGGGCAAAAAATTTTCTTGGATGGAAAAATTGGGGGTGGGGAATTTTTTGTATGGAAAAATTTTAGGAAAGGGGGGCAAAAAACTTTTTTGCATGGGTAGGGGGGCAAAAACTTTTTTGTATTGAAAAATTGGGGGGATGGAAGCTTTTTTGTTTGGAAAAATTTTAGGAAAGGGGGCAAAAAATATTTTTGCATGGGGAGAGGGGCAAAAACTTTTTTGTATTGAAAAATTGGGGGGGGGGGGACTTTTTTGTTTGAAAAAATTTTAGGAAAAGGGGGCAAAAAATATTTTTGCATGGGGAGAGGGGCAAAAACTTTTTTGTATTGAAAAATTGGGGGGATGGAAACTTTTTTGTTTGGAAAAATTTTAGGAAAGGGGGCAAAAAACTTTTTTGCATGGGGAGGGGGGCAAAAACTTTTTTGTATTGAAAAATTGGGGGGATGGAAGCTTTTTTGTTTGGAAAAATTTTAGGAAAGGGGGGCAAAAAATTTTTTTGGATGGAAAAATTGGGGGTGGGGAATTTTTTGTATGGAAAAATTTTAGGAAAGGGGTGCAAAAGACTTTTTTGCATGGGGAGGGGTGCAAAAACTTTTTTGTATCGAAAAATTGGGGGGGGGGAAGAACTTTTTTGCATGGAAAAATTTTAGGAAAAGGGGGCAAAAAATTTTTTTGCATGGAAAAATTGGGGGGGGGGGGAATTTTTTTGTATGGAAAAATTTTAGGAAGGGGAGCAAAAAACTTTTTGGTGTGGGAAAAATTTTAGAGGGGGGGGGGGCAGATTTATTTTTTGTATCGAGAAATTTTTGGGGGGATAAGAAACTTTTTTGCATAGAAAAATTCAAGTTAAATAAATTTCAGCTGCTCATTGTATTCAGGACAAGAAAATCTACAAGGAGACATTGCCACGCGATATTTTTGTGCTGTTAGGTATGTTTGACCTAAAAAATCATTTTGAGCCTGGAAGAAGAGTTAATGTTATACAAAGCATTAAAATGCACCCTGATTGGAACCCTTTTGCTGAATCATTTGATGCTGATATCGCAGTGCTGGTTTTAGATTCTGAAGTTGCATTCACCAGCAGTATTCAACCGATTTGTATCACTTATAATTCAAATATTAAAGAAATCGCAAAAGGCTTCGTCGTTGGTTATGGAAAAAGTGAGGATGAATCCAAAGTCCATGAAAATATCCCAAAAAGCATCGAAATGCCAATTCATGACAATGTTGACTGCTTCTTAAAAAATCATCTTCTAGCAACACTTTCAAGTAGACGAACATTCTGTGGTGGTTCAGGCAATGGCACAGGTGTGTGCATTGGTGACAGTGGAAGTGGATTTTTTGTAACTGATGGCAGTGCTTACTATCTTCGTGGAATTGTGTCTTCGTCATTATTTAATGCACAACGCAGTTGCGATGTTGACACTTACTCTGTATTTACTGACATTTCGACTTATTTTGATTGGATCAATGGAATTCCAACAAGTCGATTTAAGTAAAGGAACTAACAGACTTGAAACTGGTGAGTGGGAAAACTAATAAAATTAAACTAGATCTTAATAAAAACCTTTTGGCTCATATTTGTTGAACATTTACTGATTAAACTAATTAAGTGTTGTCCAAATTGTGTGCCGTGGCACGTTTGTGTATATTTTTAGATATATTTTATTTCAGGTTTTTTATATTTTTTATCCTTCACCAAAAAAATTATGATTTTAAACTTTACTCAGCATCATTTGGGAACCATATGTGTGCTAAGTCTACAATATTTTTCGTTTACGTCGTAATTTGTCCAAATATCCTCCTTAAATCAATAAACTTTTAAATTCACTTTCAGCTCTTTTTATCGCTTCTTCCTTCTTTCTTAAAGCTTCGATGACTTTTTTTATTCGTTCTGGATCTTTGGACCAGTCATCTTTAAATGGAATTTCTGGATACTTTTTTTTCACTTCTTCGAATGCCGCATGTATCAATTCATCATTTTTGTATCTGTTGGCCATTGTAAGAAGCTCCAAAGCATTTAAATTACTGATATTTTCTAAAATCTTCTCAACTGCAAAGTTCTTAAGCTCGATGATTTGCAGACGTCCAGCAGCTCCAAAAAGTTGCACATAATTCATCCCAGCCTCGCCTGGAAGTTCGTCAGTGTAAAGGAATTTTAAGATTTTCTCAAACATTTCCTCAGTGATGTCAATAAGTTTGAGGCTTTCTGCATCTGGATTTTCGCTGAATGTTTCAGCCAGAGTTGGAGAGCGAGCAGCTAAGAGGAACTTGTGGACCATGAATTCTTTGGAACCGATGATGATTTTGAAGTCTTTGACGTTTTCGTTCTGTAGGAACTTTTTGAGGTCACCGAGAAGATCATTTTGGATTGAATCTTTTGTGATTTCGTTCTTCAGCTTCAATATTTTTTCATTGGCTTTAGTTGTTTTGACTTTTGTCAAATATTTCTTTAATTCTTTTAATGGATCCTTCTGCTTCATGATAAAATCTTTCACTGATGGCAAATCCAATGCAAAAAACTTTTCAGCAAGATCATTTTTAACTTCATCAAGTGTTGATGTTGGTGAATTCCAAACTGTGAACTCAATGTTATGATTTAAATTTTTTTCTAAATGGACACATTTTAAGTTTTCAAGCTTATTCAATAAATTTGGCTCGATTATTTTTAATTTTTTGTTGATATAAAATGTAATCCATTCCAAACATCTTAAGTCTTCAAAAAGATTGCCAGGAACAAACTCAATGTCATTGTTACAGCAAGAAAATATTTTCAATTTTTTAAATCCACTCAAGTCATTTTTACAAATTGTTTTTAATTTTGAATAGGAAATAACAATAATATTTAAATTTGGAAAGACTTTAGAAAGATTTTTAGGAAGTTTGTTCAAATTACAATTGCAAAAATAAATAAAAGTCACATCATTGCTTGTTTTACAGTTTAAATGATTTCCAATAAATTCAAGTTCTTGATCATCCACAATTTGTTGACTTCTCACTTCACAGCAGTAGAATTTATTTGGATAATTTGGCCAGGAATGTTCATAATAATTACATTGAACTTTCATCTTTGCAGCACTGAAACAACTTTTGAATTAAGGACCAGATTTAATATTTTCTTAATTTTACTCACAATTATTAAAATGTTGTACCTTGAATTAAACTTTCAGAATGAAATAAATTTTTAATTATTGAGAAAATAAAGCTATCAAAAAAATTAAAATTATTCTTTTTTTAAAGCGCATTAAAAAGCTTCAATGTCGTCCAAATGCAGATTAAGCATTTCAGTTCCTTCGTCAAATAAGTTTTTTAATGTCCAAATGCAGCGATGAAGCCTGCTTAAGACTCAAAATTGATCAGAATCAACAGCAAATTCAAGAATTAAATATAAAAAAGTTAATTTTATTCAAACTTTGCAGTTAATTTGTGTAAAACTGAGAACATAAAGTCAAAGACAGTCCGTCAAAAAGTGAGCAATTAAACATTTTTCAAACAACGTTTTAAAATTATTATCTTTAAACTTTATTGATAAGATAATTAATTTCTTCAGAAAATTGATAACAAGCAGTTGAGCGTTGATAAGAATTAAGGCACAAAATCCACACAATTTTCGCCCGACTATTAAGCTTTTAATTATTAAATTATTTTCGCATTTATCACAAAAAAGTTAAAGTTTGTCAAAATAAGTGAAAAATTTTGCAGTTTTTGAATTCTTGCCTTTTCGCATGCTTTTCGATCTACTAAGATTGTTCACAAAAAAAGCAAATACCCAAATCTTATTGACCCAACATTCTCAATGTCTATCACAGCTGATTTATTAAGCCATGTGCTTTGATTATGGAAAATTCCAATGATTTCATCTTCTTCTGTTTTTGTCTATTTATTCCAAAATCTGGTTCTTGCTGTGACTGTTTTTTCAGTTTCGGTTCTTCGTGTTAATCTTCAACACGTGCTTTCTTGTGCTAAATCTGAATTATGAACTCAAAACCTGCGTCATTTTGGATTCTTTTAATAATTTTTTGGATCATATCCACAACAAATGCACAAGTTGCTTCCTGTTCGTACAGAATTGAATGGTTTGAAGTCTCTGTTAATACATTTAAAAATAGTTCTTATTATTCCTGCAATTTAAACGCACAGCAATCGAATGAGAATATTAAAATCTCAAGAATCATTGGTCAGCACTATCCAGGATATAACGACAATCACGTCACTTTCCTCAATATCAACAATAACAATAAATTTAAACTTTTTTCGCCATTTTTCTGTCAGAAATTTCCTAACCTCCAAATTATAAAAACAACAGCTGTTAATTTCCTGACTATAGACCAAGATTCTTTAATAAATTGTGCAAATTTACAAGTTTTTTCCACTTTTGGGAACCGATTGCATGCCATAAATGAATATTTGCTGTACAGGAACCCAAAGCTGACTTATTTATCACTGGAAAGCAATCAACTTAATGTCTTACCTGAAAATTTGCTGACAAATCAAAAGGAACTCTTGGAACTGCAACTGCACTACAATGAACTAGCTTTGATCCCATCGAACACTTTCAAGTCACTAGTTAACCTTCAAATCCTGACTTTAGACAACAATAGACTCAACTTAATCGATCCTGAATGGTTTGTAAACCTGCAAAAGTTAAAGATTCTTACACTGGAGACCAACAGAATCACCAAAATCCAAGCAAACTCTTTCATTAATCTAATAAATTTAGAGTTGCTGTCATTTGGCAGCAAACCTGGAATTGAGCTTCATCAAAATTCATTCAATGGCCTGCAAAAATTGAAAGGTTTGAGCTTCTTTGACAATTATTTATCAGACTTACCGGCAAGTATTTTTGTATCATTGACTAATTTGGAGTCCATGGGTATCCAAAAGCATCAATTGAAGACTATCCATTCAGACTCATTTGGATATCATAGGAACTTGACATCAATTGCCTTGGATGACAACTTAATTAACTCAATTGATGAACGGATTCTTGACAAAACAGCAGTAAATACTTTCTATATGAAGAATAACATATGCAGCAATGTCGATAGCTTAAACAGAGATCAGATCAGACAGAATTTAAGGCAATGCTTTAATAATTATCAGCCTAGGGCACTAAATGCTGCTTCAAATGTTCCAAATACACCTCGACCAATTGAAAGTAAGCAACAGGCAACAATTTTTCCATTTGCAGCTACTTTGAGTCCACCAAAGACAAACTATTGTGGACAACGAGTTACTGGACATGGAAATATCATTGGTGGGAGTCAGCTTGCTCGTGGGGACCATCCATGGTGAGAATTGTCACATCTAGATGATTTTTGGATTATTTGTCACTTAGGGTGAAGCTTGTTAAGATTTTGTGTATAATCCAGTCAAGTTTAATCAGTAGCCAGGAGGGTTGTGTCCCCCACACCCTAAACCGTTTTGAGCCGTGCTCTCGCTGCGGCTTTGTTCTGTTGGTCCGTTGGACTGTCTGTTCGTTTGTTGGTAAACGATTGAGATTAAATCAGTCAACCAAAAGTCGACTAGACTTTACACAAAACCTCAATTGGCTTCGTTCTTATGCAACAATGCCAGAAAGCACAAGTTGATTAATTGATCAGAAATCCAACGTCAAAGAAGGCGTGGCTCTGGCTTGGAGCTGGATTTAATTTAAACTTGGTTCCAAACCAGAGTGACACCGGCTTGACATTGAATATCTGATCGATTATCCGACTTGTGTTATCCGGGATTGTCAATAGTTAACATACCAACAGGCTTGCAGCATTAGTCATGAGAAATGGCAAGTATTTTTGTGCTGGGAATCTAGTAACAACACGTAAGGTTATAACTGGTGAGTACTGATGGCTTTTGATGTCTCTTAACTAGTTCTAAATGTAAACTAATCATGAATGAAGCAGAATGGTCTTAAAAGGATCTTATAAGTCAGTTATTAACTAGGCATTGATGCATTGGAAGGATTGAGGTCAATCTTTATTTTTTTTCATTTTAATTGCACTTTATTGCATTTATCTAATCTTCATATCTAGGTTTTCAAATAAACTAAGGCTCTCGTTTCGATCTTCTGTAGGCGTGACTTGATACTTTTCAGGTCCGTTCTAACAATATTCCATTCGTGGGTAATCTTATAGCTCTCGTTCCTGTTTCTCCCGCTACACTCTAAGTTCCTGACCCGTTCCTCAATCCAACGTTGCCCAAATGCCCAATTATGGCTTGATCTCGTACATTAAGCAGTCGAAGTATCTAAACTTCCGAAAAAGAACAAATTTAGAAATGGCTGGATTCGAACCGACGACCTTCGAGTTACCATCCCAAATTTGAGCCAAGCGCCTTACCTATTCGACCAGCAAGGCACTTAACTGCTTAATCTAAGTAAAGAAGCATTTGAATGATTAAATAAAATAGCACACGATGCACAAAAGTCACAAAACATTGATACCAGACCAGTGTGAGGCTGACATAAAGCCAAACTTAATTAAATCGTGTCAATTAATGTCACTTCTGTTCGACAGAAACTGGAAGTACCTTACTCTAATTCTAAGCCTTTCACAACGCATTCTCTCTTAAAATCTAACCCCAATTTCTCATTCCAGCTGCACATTGCATCCAAGACAAGCACACAAGCCTGCCAACACAACCACAGAACATAATCATCCTTCTTGGAGTTTTTGACCTCGACAGAACTGTCGAGACAGGAAGAATATCACATGCTGTACAAAGTGCCAACATTCATCCAGATTGGAACACATTGACTGAGTCATTTGATGCTGATATTGCAGTTTTGGTGATGGAAACGGAAGCTGTCTATAGCAGATATATTCAGCCTGTTTGTCTGCTTGGTCCTTTATCAAGTATTATAGCCACAGCTTCTGGTGTTGTTGTTGGATATGGAAAAAGTGAAGACGAGACAAAAATTCATGAAAATATCCCAAAGATCCTAAACAGTCAAATTCACAATAATCCATTCTGCTTCCAGGACAATAGAGCACTTGCAAGAATATCAAGTGGACGAACATTTTGTGGTGGACCTGGAAGAGGTATTGGAGTATGTCGTGGTGACAGTGGAAGTGGATTGTATGTGACTGATGGCAGTGCTTATTATCTTCGTGGAATTGTCTCGTCATCGTTGATTGGAGGTCAATATGGATGTGATGTTGACACTTATTCTGTATTTACGGATGCTTTGAAGTTTATGGATTGGATCAATGAGATTTAAGATTACATACAGGGGAGCGAGGAGGGGGGAGGGGGAGGGTTGTCCAAGGAAAAAAAATTCAAACTCATGATTTTTTGTTAAAAAATTCAAATTTTAAATTTTATTGTTAATTATTTTACTGTGTATTTTAGTAATAATAAAAGATATTAAGCTCATTCAATTTTTGATACTTTCTTCATCTTCATCGGTCTCAACAGTAAGCGAACCGATGACACATCCTAAAAATCCACTCAACATCACGAATGCTCCCCCAATGTAAAATGAGTCGTCCCATCTGTAAAAATGATAATAATTATTTATTAATCTATTTTAATCAAGTTTTTTGGCACCAAATGACATAAAACCATCAAAACTACATAAAAATGCATCCACGGCTGTTTTCAATTTCAAACTTTAGTAATTAAACATTCCAAAATTTCAATTTTTACACCCTAACCCCCTCAAATAAATCAACAAAGCACCCACCTAGCAGTCATGCCATAAATAAAACCAGCCAATGGTGGTCCAATCAGCGATCCAATTCCTTGAACTAACAAAATTAATCCATAAGCTAGCGTAAAGTCATCCATGTCAACCAATCTGCTTGTTATCATCGGAGTAAATGAGAAAGAACTGCCAAAAGTCACCCCAAAAAGTGTACACAAAACCATCAGAAATGCGTAGCTCGATGTTGCCAGTGGGATCAGGAACATTGAAATTCCGCACACTACAATATTGGATTAAGGTTATTGATGTAGATTAGATTTAGAGGTTAGAATAAACTTTATTAAGTTGCTGAGGTTTACTAAAATACTTACAAAACATGCACAGTCCATAAGTCTTTGTGACATTACACCATGGCTGATCTCCAACCCATCCGAGTCCAATCATTCCAATTGTATTTCCAATTCCAATAACAGATATCAAGTAGGCACTTTGTTCCTCAGAAAAGTCATGGATTATGAGGAACTCAGTTATGTAGAAGTATGGGATGATGTACCTAAATTAGGGATGGATTAATTAAATCAGTGTTGTTCAAACTGTATGCCACGGCACACCATTGGGCCGTAGAAGAATTCAGGTGTGCCATTAAGGTGTGCCATGGTACAAATTAGTTTGGAAAAGATTGAACTAGATATTAAAATGCAGTCAAGAGTCGATCTTATTGATTAGGGTTTAGATCAGCAGAACTGCATAGACCAAGGACTTAAGCATCTTTAAGAAGCGGAGATGATTCTTAGGCTTATCAAAAGCAAATCAAAGCTACCAAATAATGGCATACAATGAGGCTGCAATCCTCAACTTAACCTCAAAAAGTCAAAAATCTTAAGAAACTGTTGATCACCAGATTTTATAATTACACTTACCAAACATACAAGAACAGCGTTGATAAGGACATCATTCCGAATTTATATTCCAAAAATAGTGAAAAATCAAAAATTGACTTTATTATGTCAATGAAGTCATCGTACCAGACGTCCTGAATGGGAAAAATACATTTGAATGTTATTATTTTAAGGATCTATACACTGAGTAATAAGGAGGGCTAAATTGGTAAAATCAAGCCTCTGGATCAATCTATAAAGTTGCCTCTAGAGTGCCTTCAAGGCTCAATTCCAGTGATGGTCAACCCATGTGCCGTGAAATCTCACGAGCTAAAGGAATAGAAATCTGACGCCCAAGCCAGTGTGACTTTGAATTTAAATTGAAGTCAGCACCATGCCAAGGTCATACCAGTTTGGTGCCGGATTTCTATTCGAATAAGCAACTATTGCTGTGTGTAATTTGTGTGGTTCCAGTCATCGCCAAAAGCCAAGGCTGCCTACCACTGCTCTATTCTATCAATTTAACCCCCATCTCAACTCAAATATTTCAAATAATCCCCCAAACTACTCACCTCTTCCTCCTTTGCAATCGTTGTCATTGAATTCCTATAAATATTAGGACATGACGAAGCCTTCAATCTATATCGATGTGTATTAAGTAAGGCACCACGATGATGCATCATATTTCGATGAATCTTCATGTTCTTTAAGTAGTTGCTGTACTTGAGTGACTGAAAGTTCTTTAAATTTCCAACAGGATTAAAGTGTGTTGGTCGTCTGGCTACAGTTCTTGTTCTGGTTGGTGTCTTCGGGACTGTCGTTGGCTTTTTGTATGGATTGTCATTTTTGAGAGTTATGATCAAAGGAGATGGTGGGGATATGACAGGAACTTCAATTTGTTGTGTTATATCCAGTGTGTTTCTTCTTCTTGGCGGTTCCTTAAATAAATCAAGCATTGTAGGCTTAATCAGGATGTTCTCATTAAGTGAATATCGACTGCCATGAACTCCACTTCTTGGTGTGATTTCATCATCTGATGGGTCTTGTGAAGGATTGTTAGGAGAATTGTCAATGACGATACGAGAATCAGATGCATTTTGGATACTTGATGCTTCAGAAATAAGAATTTCAGGCTTAGAAGCGAATCCAACAACTTTTTCGGGATTTTTCATCAAATTTTCCTCAATTTTGACACGATTTTCTTTAATCATTGCATTTCTGATGTCTTCATACTCAGCTTCTTCATAATAAGGACCTAATGATCTCTTACTGCCATACTTCCTGCCTCTATATCCTTCAGACTCAACACCACGATTTGAAATAAATGTTGGAAGTAAAATTTCACTTGTGAACTTTTTAGCTTTGACAATTTCAGGATCTACAATCTGCTGATTAGCTTCTGTATTCAGGTTAGTCACTAATGTGTCAAGAAGGTCCTCCTTAGGAGTTCCAGTCACAATCATCTTCTTGATCTCATCCAAAGCAACGCTTGAGTTTGAAAATGTTTGAATGCTTTGCGACCGACTTTCAATCTTGTTTTCCTCAATCAGCCAGTCAGGGTCGATCATTAAGGCACCAAAGACACTAAAGTTGAACAAAGTTCCACCAAGAATTAGAGTTGCACCTCTCCAGCCATAGTAGCTGATCAGCCATTGTGTGAACGGTGCATAGAGAAAGGTTCCGATGCCAGTGCCGCTAGCTCCAATACCTAAATATAAAACTCAAAATTTCTCATACTTTTAAATCAGTTCCAAACCTACTCACCAATAGCAAAAGTCCTTTTTGTCTCAAACCAAAAGGCAATCGACACCACAGCAGTCACATAAATAACACCAAGTCCAAGTCCAGAAATAATTCCAAAAGTAAGGAACAGCATCTCAACAGAATTCGAAAAAGCAGACAGCACAAAGCCAAGACATCCAACAAATCCACCAATCATTGTCATCTTCCTGCATCCATACTTGTCAACAAGATTCGACATGACAGGTCCAGACATGAGAGGAACAGCAAGGAAAAGTGATCCGATCCATGCAGTCTTAGTTGGTCCTTCTTGGAAGTAGTTGAGAAGTTCAGTGTAGATGAGACCGAAGGAGAAGGAGATGCCGTCAGCGATGAGAGACACCATGAGAGATGCAAAGACAATGACCCAGCCGTAGCCACCTGAAAAGGGAGATTTGATCAGGATTAAGTATGTCTAGGTTATGGATAGGGAACTGATTCATTAAGTTTCATATCGTTGATTTAGGTATAGGATTGAGTATTTTCTCATGGAACGAGGCTGTTGATAGAGACAGTATTGCATTTGGTATTGGAAATTGGCAAGCAGTTGCCAGCGATATAGCTTGATTTAGGCGTCATCTGAAGAAGGATGTGGAACAGAATTGATCTCTTGCATCATCGAAGAAGAGAAAGATTGAGTATTTGACCGTAATTTAGACAAGGGGTATGCAACTATGTCATGTCGGAGCTTAGGGGTGGGTTTCTTGGTATATAACAACATTAAGGTAAACCTTAGGGCAGGTGTAGGAGTAGGAGTAGGTGTAGATGAAGGTTTTTATACTAGTGCACCTAGTGTAGGGTTAAATGTATACCTTAGAGTAAGGTTAAGGTGCATACACTTGAGTAAGTGCCAGTGTTAATCAAGAAACCTACATCAGACCCCACCCTCCGGATAAACAACTCCAGATTAGCTAGTATAGCTGTAAATATCGTTCTCATAATTCCTATTGTAGCAATGATAACAGCTGCAACAAGCTTAACATGATCAACATCATCACAGATAACACGACTTTCAATCACATGATCAATTACACGTGTCATCATATTTAATGAAACATTTTATCCATTTGCAGGCGCGATTATTGACTTAGAAGTCTATTCACCCACAAATCTTATCTACGATAAATAATCAGATAAAATTTACTACAAACTTGCGACTTACGTCAGTCATAAATTTTATTTTTTTTCTGAGTAAACAAATTGTTGAGTTTTATCTGGTTGAGAGCTAGATTTGGTTACTTAATTGCAGATTGAACTCCTTTGTATTGGAGGCTATAAAGTTATAAAGAACTTGTTGGAATCTAAACGATAGTTAATAATTAAATTATTAGGAATTTGTCTCGTTTAACATGACAATAGAGCAGTGCTGAGCTACCTTTTTTGAGCCATGGCTTTCATTGATAGTGTAACCATGACTGAAACCGCACAAGGTTCTAGGGCTTTGGCGAATGTTTTTGCTGCGCATGGGTTGGCCAGCACTGCAATTGAGGAGTACCGCAGCACACTAATGTCTTGGGAGATTCAGGAAACCTCACGAACCGTATGGCATGTGCTGCTCAAAAAAGGTTGGTCACCACTGTATTAAAGTCTAATCAAGCATAGCTTAATCAACAGGCAAATTATCGAAACTATATGACTAATTCATTAAAATTCAAACTAGTATAGAAGCCACTGTTAAACCAGATGTAAACGCACGAACTACTTTCCAGCAAGCTAGCCAGCCAGCCAGGCAGTGTAGCAGCAGGCCTTAAGAATGAAGAAGTCTTGCGACATAACCTGCACGTTCCGCATAAATATTGAGGTTATGTCGCAAGACTTCATTATTCTTTACCAGCCAGACAAAGTGGGCCTATAAGCTCATTGCTTCCTAAAGAAAAAATTTTACTCACCATCAGGAATCTTTCGCTTGTCACGACTCAAAACGGATGACGAAATCGATTCAATATCTGAGCAGTCAGACGATGACCTCCGCAATGTGCTTTTCTCATCGTCATAATCCTCGTGAATTTGAAACTTAACTTCAACTGGATTTAACAAACTTTCTTTAAGTTCAGCAAGTTGATCACGAAAATGACCATTTTCAGAGGCATTGGCTTCTTTGTCAAACTTTGACTGAACTTGAAGGCTGTTGACCATGGTTAAGGGAGGATTTGCAGTCAAATTAAAGGAAATTAAGGATTTTTAAAGTAATTTTTTTTCTCAGCCTAGAGTCGACGCCTTAAACACAATTGATGGATTTTTTGGTGACTTGACTCTTCAGACGTGGATCTCTTGACGAATACTGCCCAAATATTTTCACGAATTTCAAACAACGTTTATTTGTCCGTGAGGTTTTCATAAATGATCGGTCACTTTTGCTCGCTTTTTGATTGATTTTCACAGTTTCAGTTTTAATTTTCATCAATTTTAATTGTTTTCTTTTTTCTCACACAATTTTTACTATTTTTTTATTTTTAATTTGTTTAATTTTCACTACAAGTTCTCTAACAGATGATATTAATCTGGTATCACATTTTTATTTGAGTTCCTGTTAAAGTTTTTACTATAAATTATCTCCAAAAACGACCTTTCCTTAACCTTCAAACTTCCAACAATTTAAACTCCACAATTAATTTGTTTTTACTTCAATTCAAATCAAATTGCAATTAATACTAATAAAAAACATGCTTAATTGATGCCCTTTTTCTCAGCTCAATAACAATTAAATGTTAAATAATAATTTCAATTAAACAAAACACATCCGACGATGAAAACAATCACAAATCAAATGAAGTCAGCTGTTGCTGTGCTTCTCAATTTTATTACGCGATGCCCCGAAAAAAATAAATGTTTGAGTTCAGCACTAACAACAAAACCCGGCATTCAATAACGTTCACTGACCTGCTCAATACTTGAAGTCATTCTCGCACACATGCTCAGTTCCTTTTTTTCTGTGACTCTCTCTCTTATTTTTCAATACGCACGCATTTAATACGTTACATAAAATATAGTCGAGACTTACAGCTGGCAAGGTCGTTTAGCAAATTTAATGAATTATTTTAGTGTGCGTAGCTTAAAACTATGCTCGATGAACCTTTTCTTATCAATTATTTTTCAGGCTTTTAACTGATAAAAATTGATAATTTAGATAAAATGACTTTGGGGGTCGTTCTCTTATGACGTCCGAAATTAACGGTCATTTTTCAAAAAAGAATAATGAATTTCCAGGAATTTCAAGTGTTCTTTTCCTCGCTCTGAACGTCATAATTGAATGGCCCCTTGTTTAAAAAATCGTGTCAATATCCATTGTTCAAGGGCGTGGTACTGATGAAATGATCAAAAATTATCAAAAAAATTATCAAAAATTATCAAAAATTATCAAAAATGATCAAAATGTAATTCTTCAGTTCCACACCCTTGCCATTGTTATGGATGGTTAAAAGGGATTTAAATGAAAAAAGAAATTGAAGACTTTGGAATTAAAATATGGGGACGTTCATAAATGATAACTAGACATGAAAAGGTAGATCTGCTTTTGATTGACACAAACAATCTTTGTGACAGAAGCAGGCGCGTAACCGGGATGGGATATTTGGAGGGACGTTAACAGAAGTTTCTTCATTTTTCTAAGAGTTTTGTAAAAAAATCATAAAAATCCCCCCCCCCCTCTTCCCTCTGAATTTTCCATATAAAATTTTTTTTTATCCCCCCTTTTAAAATTCCTGGCTCCGCATCTGTACAGAAGACGAAATAAAAGCCAAAATCTCATTTTGAGTGAACATCATTAATGGATGAACCCTGTTGCAGGGCTGTCTTAAATGATGTCTATCAGAAATTGAGTTTTAACCCCCCCCCCCCCTCCATGTCAAAAATATGGAAATTATGCTTAAATCGTTGTAAAACTCCAGCCCCCCCCCCCCCCCCCCCCAAGGGTGGTTTACGTAATCTATGAATAAACCAATGTTGATACCTAGCACTTGACTTTAAAAAGGTGGACCTAAGCGTAGGCAATTTAAAATCAAAGGCACAAGCCTTTGCCTTAGTTAAAGGCAATTTTTTTTGTCTTTGCCTTTTTTGTGCATTTGAAAAGCATAACTTTGCTAGTTTAAAGGCAAAATCTGGACAAAGGCAATTTTGTGTCAAGACTGAAATAAACTTGTGACGACTCGTTCACTTATGACGTCAGAGATTTAAGGAGGGGAAGGAGAGGGGACTGTGGTTGAATAATTTAGTGACAGCTCAAACAAACAACAATTTTTCCATATAAATTTGTGACAGAAGGGGAGGGGAGGGGGTGTCTTAAAATCATAATTTATGACAGACGTCATATGTGAAAGGCCCCAAACAAGATTGTTTATTTTGTTTAACGGAATAATTTGAGAATTGTTTAAAGAAAGGTGTCTGGTAGCAGTTAAAAATAGTTTGTTTATATTATCTGAAATATAATTCGAATTTAATCATTTTGTGACGCACATTGGAGTTTGATTGCTCAGATTTGATGATACTAGGGGGTTCTATTTGACCCGCCCCCCCCCCCCCCCACTAACCCCACTTATATTTTTATATTCATACAATTTTTTTTTAACACCGACGTGTCAATACAAGCTTATGCATACGTTTTAGGGTTGGTTTCTAGGGCTACTTGGGGTACCCTAACCTAGTCTCATACTTACCCTATGGTACCCCAGGAAATGATAAGAAACCTTGCAATTTTTAAAAATTCAAATTAATATTTCTTGGCATTAAAAAACAACAATAATCTCAATTTTTAAAAAAATTATTAATAAAATTCAAAAATTATTTATTAATAAAATCCAAAAATTTATTTATAGACACTCCAAAAAAACACCCCAAAAAATAGTCTATTTAAAGAAAATGTTTTTAAACAAATTTTTTGTCTATCCAAATTCTCAACACACCGCAATTTTTACATTCTTATTCACTTTGTTTTTTCGTTTGTGTTTGTTTACTTAGCAACTTCTTTACTTTGTGTTCAATTCTTTGTTAATTTTTCACAATTTTTTATTATTTTATGAACTTTTTCAATTATTTTGCAATTTTTAAATTAATTTTTCAATTTTACTCAACTTTTAGTAGCTTCCAAAAATTTATTATGATAAATATTTTATCAAAATTTCACTAAATTCTGCCAAATTCAACAAAATTCTTCACGAATCCGATCAACTTACATGCACTAAAACGTAAACACAACTGAAAAATCTCTCAAAAAAAAAATAAATGAAATAAAAAAAAGAGAAAATAAAAACCAACACAAAAAGAAGAATTTGATCAACGAGCGGTGCTCATTCAATGAATGACAAAAGCCGAATGAAGAAAAATGTTCGATAATGTCTACGGCAAGTGCCACAGCTGAAGATTTAAATTTTAAAAAGTTTTTACGCTGAATTCGGACTTTGTTCTGAAAATCAAACAATTTTTTTTTGAAATTATTTATCAATTTTATTAATTCTAATTTTTAACATTTTTGATTCAACTTGATTCGTCAAATTGTCAATTTTAAGGTTCAATTTATCTTCAATTCTTGCTTTGTCGTCTCTCAATTCTTCGATAGCTTGCCTCAATTTAGCCTCATTGTCCATCAACTCCTCAACCTGCATCTTCAAACCTTTACTTTCCTTTTTATGCTCCTCAGCTTCCTTCAACCTCAATTCGTCATAAAAATCAAACCTTAATTCCAAAATTTTCATTTTTAAATCGGAATTTGTAACTTTTTGGCAAAAGTTCTTTAGAATTTCATTTGGATTTGGGAATTTTTGGACGTAGTTCCTTAAAACTTCTTGATCCAAAGTAAAAAGTCGGTTGAAAATTGAATCTTTTAGCTCTTGAAGCTTTAAATTTGTGACATAAATTGGATCTTCAGCATAAAAATCATGATAATTTTGGGATTCTTTGAAATTTGCGTATTTCAGGCTATCAAGGCTGTCCAAAATGGTCGGCTCGATAATTTCAATGTTGTTGTTGAAGAATTTTATGTATTTTAATTTTTTGGTGCCTTCAAACAAGTCACCAGGCAGGAACTTGACTAAATTTCTCTCACAAATGAACCTCTCCAAATCCTCATAATCCTCAAAGTCATCCTTCACCAGTTCCTTCAATTTTGAGTTGTAAAATCCAAGAATCTTTAAATTCTCGAAATAATTTTTCAGCCCCTGCGGGATCCTCGGACAAATGCAGTCACGAAACTCAACAAATGTCACATCCAAATCCGATTTTCCAGTCATGTGAAGTCCAATGAATCTAAGCTTCTTATTTTGTGGGATTTTTTGATGTTCAATGACGCACTGGTAGAAGGTGTCACCTGTGTTGAACATGTACAGCTCAAAACTGCAGATTAAGTCCATTTTAGGGATGATTTTGCGGATTGAAAATTATTTTAAACAACTTTGAAGCTTGAACTTATCGCGAATGAATCATGGTTGAGATTATTTTTATTGTTTTTAATGTGTTTGTGATTGTGTTGGGGATGTTGTGGTGTGTGGATGCTTTTGGATTGTCAAGTTGATGTTTTTACTATTTTTAAGTGCATTTCTCTTAAGAAATAATTCGCGTAAAGCAAAAATTTTGCTGGTTGGCTGGATGGCTGGCAGCCTCAAAAACTTGAAGCTGGAAGCACTTAGAGATTTCTGGTTTTTTGCATTCGATAGCTGGTTTATGATAATGTGGACGTCCATATATTTATTTTCCTTAATTCTTCTTATTTATTTTAATTAAATCAACTTTATGTTTTTTTGGTGCACATAATTGATGTTGGATTAGCCAATGAATTTAAATTTCAAAAAACCGTTAGATAAAATTTTTTATTTATTAATTCAATTATTTGTTTTTCAATTTAAAGATAATCAAATTTTCACATTTTTTAAAGTTTTATTTTTCAAAATTAACCAGCAAAGCAGATTGAATTTTTTGAGCCAAACTATCGATTTGTTTTTGTAAATTCTTATTTAATTTGACTTTTTCTTGCTTTTCATTTTGTAACTCAATTTTTAACTTTTCAATTTTCTCATCCATTTTTAACTTTGAATGTTCCAATGCCTCCAACTTTTCACTCAATTCTAAATTTGAATCTTCCAAATTTACACATTTTTCTCGCAATTTTTTGTCAATCTCCTCGAATTCTTCAATTCCTTGTTGCCTCAATTCATCATAAAGTCGGTATTTGGTGTCTAAAGTGCTCATTCTTGTGTAATAGTTTAAAGCCTTTTGTCCATAAAATTTGAGGATCTGCTCCGGTTCGGGATACTTTTTGACAAAATCTGAGAAAATTTCAAATTTGAGGTGAAAAAATCTTTCAAAAAGGTGATTTTTGACGTCATTTAAGGTTGTGTATTGAAGGTAATGAGCACTTTTGTCATAGCTGGTGGCATATTGTGGATTGCCAATAAAGCTCACATATTCCAAGTCATCAAAGCTGTCCAGCAAGTTTGGTTCAATTATTCCCAATTTATTGTCATACAAATCGATGTGTTTTAGGTCTTTAAAGCCTTCAAACAAGTCACCAGGCAGGAAGTCAATTAAATTTCTGTTGCTGATGAATTTCACTAAACTTTTGTACTCAGCCAAGTCAGCCGTGCTCAATTCCTTCAACTTTGAGTTGTAAAATCCAAGAGCTTTTAAGTTTGGGAAGATTTTTGTCAATCCTTGTGGAACTTTCGGGCAGTTGGTGTCGCAGAACTCAACAAAAGTCACATCTGAGTTGGACTTTTCAGGAAGATGCTGGCCAATAAATTCGAGCTCTTCAAGTTGGTGGATTTCTTGGTCAATTTTGAGGACCTTGCATTGGTAGAACTCATCGCCTTTGGGGAACTTGAAGATGTTGAATTTGCAGTTGAGCTTCATTTTTCAAGGCTGAGCTTTGAATGATATAAAAAATGTTTAAAAAATTTAAAAGGAAAAGGGTTAAGGGTGGGGTGGGGGGGGGTGGGTGTTCAGGGTTTTAATTAGAATTTATTTATAAAATTGAATTTGAATTATTTACAATCAAAAATCAATGAATGAAATTAATGAAATTTTTGCTTAGTCAAAGCAGTGGTTCTCAAACTTTGTGACGCGAAAAAAAATTTGATTGCTAAAGTTGATCCTTTATCTTCATGTTTGATGACTTCAAAAAAGTCATGAAAAACATTGATGTTGTCGGGAGACCAACGTACAGCCAGAAGGGTCTTGCCCCTCCCCCCCTTAAGCATTTTGAACTGCAATGAGAGTACGGCTTAAAATGTTTAGGGGAGGGGGGGGCAACCCCCCTGGTTACGCACCTTCGGGAGTCTATTTAGGTGTGCCGCGAAGATTTTAACTTACAAAAATGTACCGTTGACCAAAAAAGTTGAAGAAACACTGAGTAAAAGGGATCAGACCAGTGGTGGTCAACCTTTTTTCATGCCACGGTACACTTTGATTGTAAGCAATAGCTGAAACCGCAGATGGCATTTGATTTGTGATATTTGGCGGTACACTAGGTTGCCTTGGCTCATTAGTAAGCCATCACTGGTTTAGACACTCAAAACTTGTCAATTTTAACTAAATGCCTTTAGATTCTTAAACATCATCAAGAAGCAATCAATTTGCTGACAACCTTAATCAAAAAGCATTATTTAGATTTTTTTTTGCAATTTTTAATCCAAAAAAGCTTGAATTTTAAGGGGCTGTTCATTTATTACGTAACGCGAAAAAATGAATTCTTAGACCCCCCCCCCCCCCCCCCCTCGTAACAAAATTTGTATGAAAAAAAAAATTCCTTTTTTGAACCGTAACAAAATCTTAGACCCCCCTCCCCCCCTAAAAGCGTTACGTAATAAGTAGGGTGACCATCTTCGTAGTTTTACAACGGACAGTCCTGTATTTCAAAACCCTGTCCTGTATAAATTTGAAAATTTTGTTCCAGGTCCTGTATTTTTTTTACGAAAATTTCCGTTAATTTTCAAATTTTCCTTTGTGTCCTGTATTTTTTTGGAAATTTATCAAATGTCCTGTATTTTCATAAAAATTGGATGGTCACCCTAGTAATAAGTGAATGGCCCCTAACCCAAAATAATTAAATTGCAAAAATTAATTCACCAACAAATTACAACTTACGTCTTTTCACTAATTGAATAACTTAATAAGTCTAAAATGATAAAATTATGAAGATATTTCCTATCCACCCAACCGACTTCTTCAATCTCAACTTTAATTGTGTCGATTGTGTCCAAAACAGTCTTTGAATCATTGCAATGTTTTTTTTTATTTTTATTCAAATGACAAATTGAATGTTTTTGATGAAATTGTTTACAACGAGATTGTTGCTTACGTGCGATGATGTTTTTTGGCACAACGTGTCTTGAAATGACGATTGCGATAATTTTTTGATAAACATTTTTTGCTTAGTAAGCAACTGAAGATAACAGTTTGAGCTGATAACAATTAAATGATGTAATTTTGACTATTTTAATGGGATCTTGAGTGGATTTGAATGTTCATGCAATGGAGGTTAGAGGTGTCTTTTGGGATAAGGCTCACATAGGATCCTCATTAGGCTGGCCAATATTTGGTCAAAAGGCAGAATATGTTCCAGATTCAGCTCTGAAAGAGCGGGACACACCAAATTTTCAAGCTTTTGCAAGAAATTTTTTTCAAAAAACAAGAAATTAAGCATTTTAGGTGGGACATTGTTCAAAAAAGCCGGACTGCCCAGTTGGACTGCATAACTTTAATTTAATTGATTAAGACATTTTTAAGAAAATTAAAATTTTATTCATTTTTTAACATTACAGTTTGAATTTGAACAGCCAAATTTTCGATCTGCTTCTGCAAATTTTTCTGCAATTTTTCCTTTTCCTGCTTTTTATTCTTCAACTCCTTTCTTAACTCCTCAATTTGATTGTTAAGTTTCAACTCCAAATTCTCCAATTCTTCAATTTGTTTGACCATTTTAGCATTTGATTCCTTCAGTTCCTGTACTTTCAGCATTAATCTTTCCTTTGAGCTTTTAAGCTGCTCCAATTCTTTAGCTCTTTTCTCGTCATTAATATTTGCGCTGATTTCCAACATCTTAACTTTATTAGCATCCGCAATGTTATATCTGTCATTTGAATATTTTCTAAAGGTTGTCAATGTTTTTTGTGGATCTCGGCTGTTGCTTATGTAGGCTCGGATCTTTTCAGCTTCTAGGTTCAAAAAGTTCTGAATTAGTTTCGTTTGGATTTCCCCAAGTAGTGCATTTGGATTGTAAATCATGTTTGATGCATAAAAATGGCTAATATGAATATTTCCATTAAAATTGACATAATCAAGGCTGTATAGCTCATCTAGTAAGTTTGGCTCTATTTCTCCTAATTTATTGCCGGTGAATTTTATGTAAGTCAAGTCCTCAAATCCTTCAAATAACTCACCAGGCAGGAAGTCAACTTCGTTCTTGTGGCAAATAAATTTATGCAAATTTTTATACTCAGCCATGTCATCCTTGCTGATGTCCTTCAACTTTGAATTGCAGATGCTCAGAACCTTCAAATTTGGGAAGGCTTTTGTCAATCCTTGTGGAACTTTTGGACAGTTGCAGTCACGAAACTCAACAAATGTCACATCTGGGTCGTATTTTTTGGGTAAATGTTGACCGGAAAATTCAAATTTGCTGTTTTGTGGAACTTCTTGGTCCTTAATGATGCACTGATAGAATTTTTCGCCGTTATTGAATATAAAATCCTCAAATGTGCAGGTTAGCTTCATTTTTCACTAGATTTTTTGGTAGAAATATCTTCTAATGTAGAAAAAACACAACCGACTGCTTTACTGACTTTGCGAGTATGTCAAAAGAAAATCAAAATGAATCATTGGATGTGCGAGAATGTTTTCTGATGCGGTAAAAACATTGGCACAAATGACATTTTATCTTCTCAGCTGTTTTTTGATCATTTTTGTATTTTGTGTGCTGACTTTTGAGACTGAGAATTACTGTTGTGCATTTACTTTGGATATAGATTGTGGATATTTGAGGAAAATAAGTGAATTATTGACAAAAAGACACAAAAAAGTGAATTTTTTGCAATGATTAAACAACGTCACATAAAAAGAAGGTCAAGGCCATAGAACAAGCTAACATTTTAAAGGATTTGTGTGGTAATTGTTGCTGTATTGTGTGGCAAAGTGAAGAGTCAATCAGCTGAGTTTGCTTGTGATTATAAGCCAGGCGCGTAGCCAGGAGAGTCTTGTTCCCCTCTTAAGCTTTTTAGGCCATGCTCTTGCTGTGGTTCAAAACGTTTAAGGGGGGGGGGGGGGGCAATACCCTCCTGGCTACGCGCCTGTTATAAGCTATAAGTTTGACACAATTCAAATAACATACTCCAAAATAAATCTTTCAATTCCAAACAACAAAGCAATAGCTCGTGACATGACCGTTTTACTTGGTGTCTGTGACTTGAGTAATCCTTATCAAGCAGGTTGAACTATCTTCTCAATACAAAGTATCAACATTCATCCTGATTGCAATCCACAAACCACATTTTTTGATACTTACATTACAGTTGTGGTTCTGGAAAATGAAGTCATTTATATTGCCAATATTCATCCAATTTGCCTTTCATACTTAAACATTAAGGCAATCATATGAGGATATGATGCATAAGTGGTTCGGATCCCACTATAAACTGTAGGTCTAAAAGGTGTGGTACAATAGATTCTGTTCTAATTTGAATCGCAGTGCCTCCAGATGAAAGGCTGGGCCCTTCACACATTATTATAAGAGGATATGTCGTTGGATATGGCAAGAGTGAAGACACATCGTAGGTCCATGAAAATGCTGATTACTTCCTCAAAGATCACATTTTAGTCACGTTTTCAAGCAAGCGAACATTTTTCTCTGGTTCTGGAACTGGCATTGAAGTCTTTAACGGAGACAGTGGAAATGGATTAATCGTGATTGATGGAAGTTCATTTTATCTTCATGCTGTTGTGTCATCATGATTTAAGGGTGGACAGTATGGATGCGATGTTGCTGCTTATTCTTTATTTGCTGATCCGACTAAGTACTTCGAATGGATCAGTGGAATATCCACAAGTCGGTTCAAGTGATTCGATGATGGAACCAAGGCTTTGCTTCTTGCTACGCTTTTGTTATCGACTGATCCATAATTTTATCAATTTGGATTTTAAAAGACTTTTAATTTCAATGTTTTTGTGGCAATTTTTTTATTTTTGTAGCAATTTTTTTAAAAATTAAAAAAAAATAACCTCAAAAAATTTTTTAATTTTATTTTGACTTTCTTTCAAACATGATTGACTGGAATTGTCGAACTAAATCATCAATTTGACTTTGCAAATTTTTTTTAATTTTTGAATTTTCTTCTTTAACATTTTGTAAATCTTTGCTGCATTCCTCAAGTTGCTGACTTATCTTTACATCCGATTCCTCCAGTTCCTTTACATCATCGTTTACTTTGTCATTTAGTGATTCCAGCTCATCAAGTTTTAACTTAAATTTTTCATTATCGTTCTTAATTTCATCAACATCTGTAGCCCGACTAGCTTCATACAACTCGTACTTAAGTTCCAAAATATTCAACTTTGATTTGTGGCTGTTAGCATATAACTTTAAATAGTTCAATGTGCCACTCGGATCTGGAGTCTTGTGGATATAATTTCTAATGAATTTGATGTCGCCATTGAGAAAGTTGAAATATACAGCAACCTTAACCTCCCCTGGCATAGCATTCACACTGCGCTGATAAGCTGCATCTGCGGAAAATTTGTGAATATCTGGATTGGACTTGAAGTTTATGTACTCTAGACGATAAAGGTTGTCAAATAGGTTCGGTTCAATCACGCCTAATTTATTGCTGGTGAATTTTATGTAAGTCAAGTCCTCAAATCCTTCAAATAAGTCGCCAGGCAGGAAGTCAACTTCGTTCTTGTGGCAAATAAATTTAAACAAATTTTTATACTCAGCCATGTCGTCCTTGCTGATGTCCTTCAACTTTGAATTGCAGATGCTCAGAACCTTTAAATTTGGAAAGGTTTTTGTCAATCCTTGTGGAACTTTTGGACATTTGCAGTCACGGAACTCAATAAATGTCACATCGGGGTCGTACTTTTTGGGTAAATGTTGACCGGAAAATTCAAATTTGCTGTTTTGTGGAACTTCTTGGTCCTTAATGATGCGCTGATAGAATTTATCGCCATTATTAAATATAAAATCCTCAAATGTGCAGGTTAGCTTCATTTTTTACTGGACCATGGGATTATTTGGGATAACTTGAGCGAGTAGAAATTAAAAATAAATTATTTTGTACCAAAAAGATACTTTCTCTCTATGAAAGATCGATTCTAATCATTAAAAGATGCCCAAATGTTATTTGATTACCTTTAAGTGCTATTTTTCTGAGAACATGAACACAATAGTGTCAGTTTGGGTCTATTGCAGTGGTGAAACTAAATCAAAACATCCAAAAACATCGAATTCACTTGCTTTAGTGTTGATCAAGGAACAATATGAATCATTGAATGTGAGCGAATATTTTTATTTGCTTGAAAATTCACTTTTTATGATGAAAATATTGACAACGAGATTGTTGCTTACGCGTGATGATGTTTTTGGGCGCAACGTGTCTCGAAATGACGATGGAAATCATGTTAAAGTTATTTTACTAATCATTGTAGATACATGGTTTTCAAAAAGGAGAGGATTGGCTGTCAATGAGACACGCATGATGACTACTGTAAACGATGCTAAAAGGAGACCATTAATAACTTTACGGAGCGACAAAAAGTTCATGTTGACATGGTTTCGTCCTAAAAGCGATAACTCGTTGAATTTTTCCGTTTGCATTGCTGCCTTGAGGCCCGTGTCAAAATGGTGTAGCTTGACATTGCCACGAGTCCGTGCAATGCGAACGGAGAAATTCAACAAGGTGTAGCCTTGACCATGTCATCATAAACTTTTTGGTGCTCAGGTTTGGATCTGTGCAGCTTATAGGTAAAGTTTGCGTTCATATCTAGCGTAAATAGACCTAAACAAGAGGCTCGCGTTGAACCAGTTGTATATTTATAACTCTCATAGTGAAATAAGCATTTACGGTGACTAAGTGGTCAAATATCTCTGATCGGACGGTCAAAGTTCACATCTTTTAAGGTCACTTCTAATCGAACTTAACCTTTTTTTTTACATTAGCATACACTTGCAGCAGCTATGAGAGAGATCTACACAGCTAGCAAAGTATTTAAGTGACGACAATCAAGCTTTAAATTCAAATTTGGGATTTTCGGAAAATGTTCAGTCAATCTTTTTGGAATTGAATAGCAACATCCGTAGACTTCAACATATGTCACATCTGTGTCTGACTTTCCAGCTTGATGAGTTCCAATGAATTTAAATTTTGCATCTTGTGGAAAGTCTGGGAAGGAAATTTGACATTTGTAGACCGTCTTGCCTGATTTGAAGGTGTGGTTTTCATATTTGCATGTGAGCTGCATGGTTCTGGAAGTATTTGGAAGGTTAGTGGTGTATTAAGACCAGTAATGGCCAACCCATGTGTCGCGACATACAAGTGATCCTCAAAAAATTCCAGAAACCCCTTGAACCGTGTGCTGTGTAAGGTTTCTTTCAAGGCTTACTCCCAAGGTGTCCCGCGGCACGAAAAAGGTTGTCCACCACTGATTAAGACTATATTAATGGTATAGAACTAGACAGAGCTCGAAGTCGATAGGGTTCGAGTCGACTCGAGTCAATTTCGAGCTCTGGAACTAGATAAGGAAAGAATCAAGTTAAATAAGCTTGCATGCTTCTAAACACCACTGACGGTTTGTAATAAGCTTGAAATTAGGTTTTAGAGATGAAAAAAAAACATAGTTTTTCTCCCCTTGGCATAGTAAATTCTTTATTGAGACTTAATATTGAACATAATTGATTGAAATTGTTGAACCAAATTGTCGATTTGACTTTGCATGCTTTTCTTCAACTTTATGTTTCCTTCCTTTTCTTTTTCTACTTCCTTCTTATATTCTTCAAGCTGTTGACTCAACTTCATCCTTAAACCTTCCATCTCCTCAATCTCTTGATGTAATTTCGTATTTGAAGCTTCAAGCTCAGCAACGCGCTGTGTCAATTTTTCATCAGCAGCTTTAAGCTCAGCGACATCTTTAGCTCGTCTTTCTTCATACACATCGTACCTTACGTCAAGGAGGTTCATTTTACTTTCATATCCATTTGCACATTCCTTTAATAAATCAATAGCTTTGTTAGGATCTGGACACTTTAATGCGTAGTTCCTGATGAATTTTTGATCAGAGCTGAGAAAATTGAATGTCAAGAACCACCGGAGCTTCCAAAGTGTTGTATTAATGCTACGATTATAGACTTGGCTGTTAGCTGCAAATTTATGAATGCTTGGGTTGGACTTGAAGTTCACATACTGCAGCTTGTGAACTCCACTCAGTAAGTTCGGCTCGATGACTCCAAGCTTGTTGTTTGTGAATTTTATGTAATTTAAGTCCTTAAATCCTTCAAATAAGTCACCAGGCAGGAAGTCAACTTCGTTTTGATCGCAAATGAATCTTTGAAGATTTTTATACTCAGCCATGTCATCCTTGCTGATGTCCTTCAACTTTGAATTGCAGATGCTCAAAACCTTTAAATTTGGGAAGGTTTTTGTCAATCCTTGTGGAACTTTTGGACAGTTGCAGTCACGGAACTCAACAAATGTCACATCGGGGTCGTACTTTTTGGTGAGATGTTGACCGGAAAATTCGTAATCTTCTTCATTTAGGGCTTCTTGGTCTTTGATGATGCACTGATAGAATACTTCGCCGGTATTGAATGTAAAATCTTCGTATGTGCAGGTCAGCTTCATTATCTAAGGAATCATGGAGGAAGTTAGTCAAGAATTTGGCAAATAAGATTAAGATAGTTGGGTCGTGTGCTGGCAAACTATGCAGCAACCATCAACATTTATTTTTAATCACAAAACACTGACAACTTTGAAGCAATTTCCACAAGTAGATAAATGCAAAGTCCACTTTAGGTTTTGAGAAGTTTAATGCTCCGATCTTACCTTTCTGTAGTCTTTTTTGATGAATATTGATGCTTAAAACTGAATATTTAGCTATTTATATTGCAGAGCAGTCTTAATTTCACAACCGACTGCTTCAGTTTAACTTACAAAAGTGTTGATTCGCTGAACATTGTGATTCATTATTGTGAACATCGAAATTATTCATTGTATCAACAACACAAGTTTCCTTGCTGAATTGAATGTGCTTGACAGTGTTTTAGAATGTTCATGAATTGAGAATAAGAAGGCGAATGCTTTCTTATTGACGACAACAGCAATCCAGTTGAATTTCATAATTTTGATGAGAATGTGTGGCAATATTGCAATAATGTAAAAGGTTGGCTTCACGTGTCATCCTTGTCCATGTCACATGAGGTGTTCATAAATGACGTCAAAAAATAACAGTCGTTTTTAACAACAAGCAATTGAATTTAAAGTTCTGCACTATTCAAGATCTCTATACCCCCCCCCCCTCCATGTGACGTCATTTTGTTAAAATGAATCTCAGGGTAGAGTTACTCAGGGTTACTCAGGGTAGAGTTTGTGGTTAGCCTTAAAAGCCGGCTTCTGGACATCAGCAATAAAATTGTTATTTAAAAATGACGACGAGAATAAAAACACAATCCTGAACTCCCTCTCCACTCAGCCACCCCCCATAGCATCCCTCCTTCCAGCCACCCTCCATAGCCTCCCTCTTTCCAGCCTACCTACTTTATTTTAAAAAAAGTTAAACTTGCTAGGGTTTTTATAGAAAAAGATAAAAAAAAAATCCTTAAAAAATCACAAACTTTGCCCCTGTTGCAACCCCCCCCCCCCCCTTTACCCTCGTAAAATCTAGACATCACTTTCATTACGATGGGTTCCTATTACTATACTATGAAGCGTAGGGCGTCCACAAAGCATTTGAATCGCACTCGATTCTGGGCCAAAGCTGCTATTTCCTGCAGCTTCTTGTTCTGTTGTTCTGCCTCCCGTTCAACAGTTGTACGCCAAGTAATTCTCCATCGGCTCCCAGTTCTATATCCTTGGACATTCCAGAAGATCGCTTGCCTTGCGATGTCTGCAAGGTCTTTCCTTAATGTTTGGCCAATCCTGTTCCATTTCTTTTTCCCAACTTCGTCTGCAATGATTTTCACTTCCATACCCACTAATAAAAATTCAAAAATTTTTAAACTTTCATTTATTAATTTTTATTGTCAATTTTAAATCTATTTTGCATCAATTAACAAAAATGACTGAAGCTGCTGTGCCAAATCATCAATTTGCTTCTGTAAGTTCCACTTTAGCTTCTTCTTTTCTTCTCTTTCGTTGCCAATTTCAATCATTAATTCTTCAACTTGCTGCTTTTGTTTTAATTCAATGTCCTTAATCATTTTGACTTTATCAAGCAACTCAGCATTTATCTCTTCTAATTCTTCAATCTTGTGCTGCAACTGTTCCTCAAATTCCTGATGTTCAGCAACATCCTTGACTTTGTTTTGATAATAAAACTCATAAGTAAGCTCATGCATCCTTAAATTTGTGTTGACTTCGTTGGATCTTTCTCTGAAAATTCTCAAAATCTCAAACTTGTCTGGATGGCATTCAATGTAGAATTTGATCACTTCCTGATCTAATGCCAGAAATTGCTCAAAAAGATGATTTTTAAGTTGCTCTAAAGTCGAGTCTGAGACATAAATTGGACTTGCTGAATAGAATTTGGAATAATTTGGATTCGACCTAAAGTTGACATACTCAAGCTTATCAAGTCCATCAAGGATGTTAGGCTCAACAGTCAACAATTTGTTACGGAAGAATTTAATATATTTCAGATTTTTAAAGCCTTCAAATAAGTCACGCGGGAGGAACTCGACTTCAGAATTCTCACAAATGAATCTCTCAATATTCTTATACTCAGCTATGTCATATTTGCTGATTGTCTTGATATCTGCATTATAAATTCCAAGAACCTTCATATTTGGAAAAATATCAGTCAATCCTTGTGGGATTTTGTGACAGAATCCACGAATTTCAACGAATGTGACATCATTGCTGGATTTATCATATTGAGGGGGTTCGAAGAATTTGTAGTCATCATCAGTTGAGTTGGGTGGATAGGATGCAGTGCATCTGTAGTATCTTTCACCTGTGTTGAACACATAGTCATCAAAGCTGCATGAGATCTCGATCATCTGGAATGATTTTATGGTTTTTTTTAATTTATTAGTGATGTTAAATCAGGTTGAAGATGCGAAATTATGCTTCAGAGATGCAGATGTTTGCCTCAATAATGCAAAGTATCTGGAGGATGCAAAGTTCTGCTTCAAAGATGCATCCTTTTAAATTGAAGATGCGAAGTTCTACTTCAAAGATGCAGACTTTTCCTCACGGATGTGAAGTTCTGCTTCAAAGATGCAGACTTTTGCCTGAAGGATGTAAAGTTCTGTTTCAAAGATGCAGACTTTTCCTCGAGGATGTGAAGTTCTGCTTCTAAGATGCAGATTTTTGCATTGAAGATGCGAAGTTCTACGTTAATGATTCAGACTGTTGCCTCAAAGATGTGAAGTTCTGTTTCAAAGATGCAGACTTTTGTCTCAAGAATGTGAGGTTCTGCTTCAGAGATGCAGATTTTTGCATTGAAGATGCGAAGTTCTACGTCAATGATTCAGACTGTTGCCTCAAAGATGTGAAGTTCTGTTTCAAAGATGCAGACTTTTGCCTCACGGATGTGAAATTCTGCTTCAAAGATGCAGATTTTTGCATTGAAGATGCGGAGTTGTTTGGATAACACTGATGTAAGCGATCAGCTCTAATATAACACATTACCACTAACATCATTTCCTGAGAAGAACCCAATTACAATTGTTTAACATTTCAGCACTTGTTCCTTTAACCACATTATCGTTTAGGATTGCTACGCTTTAGAATTGATTTATTTTCTGTAAACCAACTTAACAAAAAATACTTACGACTGACTGCTACAAAATCACTGTTTAAAATCCCAAATGAACATTATGAATCATTATCAAAATACAATTCCAATGTTTTGACAACAATCACGTTAGCTGTAAGTTTAATGTTGATGTTTGGAGATAATGAAAATCAGCTGTGCTTGCACTTTGTGTTGGTTTTATTCAGATAATCAAAAATACATTGAACGATATTTATCGCTTATTCCTCAAATATATCCTACTAGATATTCTTAACAAAGTCAAAGGCGTTGCCTAGAACTTTCACCATGACTTTGAGGCGTTTACACCAGTCAGCCATTACTGCATGTCCCAATTTCAGCACTAAAAAAGCGCAACAGACCAAATATCCAAGAAAAATAGGCAAAAAAAGCGGGACAGTGAGGATTAGCTTAAAAAATTGAGAATTTACTCAATTCTCTCACGAGTCAAAACCACGTGGAGCTCGCCGGCAAAATATGTATCATGTCAACAAACCACACGCGGGTAAATCCAAAACAACTCCGCTCATGACATTGAAAAATGATTAAAATTTATTTTTCTCTGTTTTTGTATTTTCGGTGTTGACGTTCTTTAAATGAGATTGTGAATATTGATTAGTTCCTACTTGACTCAACATTCAGGTTTTATTTCTCATTTTGTGGTTCATTATTGCGCTAAGATTTCATCCAGTCAGATGTGCTTTGTGTTTTTTGGTGAATATTTTTATAGTTTTTGAATAAATTTTGTGGACTTTTTTTTTATTATGGACAGTAAAATGTGAAAATGGGTGAAAATAATTTAAATATTGAAAATGAGAGTAAATTCTTGAATATTGTTGAAGACATTAGCCAAAAATATGATTTTGAAGGTCAAAATTGTGAGTATGGAATGTTCTTTTTACATCGGCTGTAGGCTGTATATCAGGCGTGTAGCCAGGAGGGTCTTGTCCCCATCTTAAGCGTTTTGAACCGCAGCGAGAGCACGGCCTAAAACGCTTAAGAGGAGGTCAATACCCTCCTGGCTACGCGCCTGCTGTATATTAAATGCCAAAGATCTTAGGCATAGATTTGACCAGAGCTCGAATGTCAACCAAATCAAGAATATTAATTTTATATTCCTTTCTTCTCACGCAGCGTTCGAGCTTGCCAATGTCTTAAACATCAAAGCTAACAACAATCACGAGACCAAGTCTGACGTCTTAATTAACAACTTCCATGAAGCACATAAACCAAACTTCAATCATGTCAATATAACAAGAATTAATATCGAGGACTGTAAAGGCTTTGAGCATGCTGTGGATTACATCAGATCAACGTCAACGAGCACAAAGTCTGATGACGTCTTCTTGGTTAAGCTACATTTTGATGGCAAGTTTGCAAATTTTACTTCGTCTGAGATGAATGAATTGATCAACTTGTGCCAAAATAAATCAATTGTTGTTCATCTTGCATCTAAAAATTGTGACAAATATTCAATCTCCTGGAAATCCAAGGAACTTGGTCACTTTCTTACAACAAAGCCTTTTGAAGACCAGATAACTAATGATGATGCAGAACTTTACGACTTTATAGCTGAATTCCTAGCAAATGAGCTGAAATGTGGACGTTTAGGTAAATTTGACTAAAATTTGAGGTTTTATGAATCCTGGGAGTAGCTTTGGTTGGGAACCAGCGAAATCAAGTGTTAAGTTGAGAAAATAGTGGGATTGAAATCCGGCAACAAGCTTGCAGAACTCTGGCATCGTGCTGTGGCTGTTTTTCTAAGGAAACCTGAGGTAACCAACTATTTTGCCCCGGATCCCTATCCTTCCTATCCTACCCTCTTTAAGGTAATCTACCCCAAACCTTCCTACAGACTCAACTAGGGAACCTAGGTGGATGACAAAGTAGGGTTTTCTAGGGTTACATCTTTATCCAGGATAGGATAGGAGGAAGGGGGATGGGGTGCACCGGGTAGCCTTAAAAAACAGCACCTAGTTTCGATTTGAGTTCAGCACCATGCCAGAATACCACCGACTTCGTGGTGCTGGATTTTTTCCCTATAAATAAGTATTTTCAGAGGCTATGCAAGCTTATTGTCAGTTCCATGTCAAAACCATGACTTCATGCTGAACCCAGTTTTATGGTTGTCTTGTCTTAGCTACATCTTAATAGAATATAAATCACCAATAAGGGGCCGTTCACTTATGACGTCCAGGCGAGGGGGGGGGGGGGAGACAGCAAGAAAAGAACAATAAAAATTCCTGAAAATCTATTGTTCTTTTTTGAAAAATGACCGTTAATTTCGGACGTCATAAGTGAACGGTCCCTAAAATTCGCAGGCATCTCCAACACATTCCAAATCTCTGAAGAATCAAATCAATTTGACATCGTCAACTTCTCCGATTCTCGTCAATACAACTTACTTTTCCTTGCATGTGAAGCTTGTAAAGTCAATCTAGCCATTAGCTTGTATAAATTCGGTCTAAATGCAGAGCTGCTTAACCTGGATATGACTATACAAGATGTTGCACTACAGAACAGCCATTTTGAGCTCATTAAAGCTTTATATGATGAAGATTTGCCATTGCCAGTGCCAGGGAACATTAAAAGCTATCCAGAATGGTTCATGCAGTTTGTTTGGCTTCTTGAGGAATTTTCCGGCATGATAGAAGTTGACAATCTAGAAAAAGTTGAGGAAATCTACTCACAACTTCCAAAAACTCGTTATCTTTACAACTTGTCCAACGAATCAGCTCTTAAAGTAGCAGTCAAGTCATCATCCTTCAAATGCTATGAATTCCTCGTCAGCCACAAGCACACATTCGCACCAAATGAAGACCCAGAAGAGCTTTATGAAGAACTTGAGTACGAAGACCAGAGAACTTTGAGGGAAATCCACAACAAATATACGCAAGAGTCACCAGAAAAGCACATCAATTTCCTCATGACAAAGTCTTTCATTGCCCATGACGTCACTGGTGCTGAAGAGAAGCTAAAGATTGTCAGAAGAGCTTATAGAGCTCTAAATTCCAACTTAATCATCCAAATAATCCTCAAGGTCGTGGCAGCATCAAAAAACTTCAAAATCATCTTTGACTTCAACCGCGACTCAGTCAATGTCGCTGACCCAACAGCTACATCCAACACACAAGGTCTATTCTACACATCTGGCAGGATTTACATCGGAGCTAAGCAGTTGCTCAACGAAGCTACATCCAATGAGACGATGGCTGTTATTGCTCACGAGTTGTGTCACTTTGCGATGAATTTAGTTTACGGAAATGACGCAAGACCTTATAAAGCTAATGACAACATGGCAATCCAAGAATTTGAAGACATTTCTGTCCAATGTGCTGCAAATAATGACAAAGAAGAAGTTGTGGATATTGTGTACGAGCATTATCCACCTGATATGCATCATGCTGAGCTGATCGTTCGAGTTGTTCATCTAATGGCTTTAAACTCAAAGAATCCTGAAAAGTTAGCGGAAGTACGGGAAACCTTCAACTGCTTATTTGAGTATTTCGAGAAAAAAATTGTTCCAGACATGAAGGATGCATTGCCAGAGATTGAAGGACGTGCTGAACAGGAAATCCTCAAAAAAGATAAGAAAATTACTAAATTTAAGAAACTAGCTTTAATTGCTGGATTTTTGGCAATCCTTGGGGTTATTGGTGCTGTATTTGTTGGGTTTGTCTTTCATAAGCCTGTCTATAAGTTTGATGAGTTGTCGGGGGATGAGCAGGTATTGGTCATGAACTCTACGGTTGTCTATAAAAATGTTGATGTTAGGTTCAAGGATTTATTTGCTGATGGGTCAGTTGCTTATGAGAAGCTTACATCTGATCATATTAGTCAGTTTCTGGAAGGGATGAAGCTTGACTTTGAGGATCCTTATTTGCACTACCTAGACGAGCTTGTCATCCATGATTGGGGGAATCTGACGGATAAGTTGAGGGATAAATTCTTAACCTCAAACTTTACATTTCAAAATGAGAGCGTCAGGTTTATGGACCTTCATGGACATGCTGTTAGTTCCTTTAAAGTTCTGTCATCTCAGAATATTGTTGATGTGCTGGATGGCAAGCAGCTGTTGGTCAATAAAATGATTGAGAATCGGACGGAATTTTATGTCGAGAGGATTTTTTGGAATGAAGACATTCTTGATATTTACGGGCTGTACACAAAAGGGAACTTCAAGGTTAGTGACTGGGAGAAGGAGGAAAAGTTTAGGGAATTTTATGATCAATTTGTTGGACAGAACTTCAGTGACTATATCCAAAAGATTGGTGAATCTAAGAGATTTGCTCAGTTGAGGTTATTTTTTGTGTCCAGGTCTGATAACTCCTTCGATGTCCTCCTTAATTTCTCATCATTCCACGACAACTTCGAGACAATCCTCAAATCCTCAGAATCCAAAAAAATCTTCATCCTGTCTTCAGAAGCTGGAACCGGTAAAACCATAAATTTTGAGCAATTTGCCATGAGAATCAAGAGGAAGTACCCAACTAAATGGGTATCCTACATCGACCTTAAAGACTACACAAAGCTATATTCAGAAAATGACACAGTTAAGGATGTTGAGGCTCTCCTGTTCAACATCCTAGACTTAACCTCAAAATCACTTTTCGAACAATCAATCTTCCATGAACTTTACAATTCAGGCTCAGTTGTGCTGCTTTGGAATGGATTTGATGAAATATCACCGGCCTACAATAAATTTATACTTGACACATTTGTGGCTATCCAAAACAGCACATCTAATGTCCAATTTATATGCACAAGACCACTTTATAGCCAACAGCTTGTAGAAGCTATGAAGGTCCTTCCATACACACTTGTGTCATTTAGTAAAGACCAGCAAGAAGAGTTTCTCAGGAAGTTCTTTATGTCCAGAAATATTGAGGATATTCACATCCATAGCTACATCAATAAAACCTTAAAGATCGTAAAATCCTTAAAAGCTAAGACTTCAATAGCCAAAACAACAGAAGACTTTAACACGCCACTTATGCTGGAAATGATCGCTGACTTAATCTCAGACAATGCCGACATCTTTGAGTCCGAAAATCTTTACGAAATTTACCGAAAGTTCGTCAAGAAAAAGATTGAAATTTGGCGCAAAAAGAGCGAGTTTGCCTACAAGTTTCTCGGCGATTCAGTGACTGAATATCGGAAATTTGACATGCTCGAGATGTACCAAATGTTTGCCTTAAAAAGTGAGCTCAGATCCATCAGCCCATTCACACACTTAACAGCCGGAAAACTCAAAATCATGCGACAAAAAGTCCCAAAGGAACTGACGAGCGTCGAGATCTCCAGGATGGGAATTTTGTACATTAACGGTCAAAATGAATTTAAATTTTCCCACAAAACTTTTGCTGAATTTTTTGTTGCTCAATTTTTTATTGAGAATATTTACAATGCTGAGGTTGTGGACGGCGAGGATGCTCTGGTGTTGTTCCACAATTTCGAGTATGTGACTGAATATTATGGACTTGATCAGCTGATGACTACGAATTTTATGATTTCATATCTACAGACACAAGATGGAGTTGCTAGCGACGGATTTGAGCCGAAAATTGTTGAAATTTTTAAGAAAAAATTTAAAAGAATTTTTTTCAATATTTTAAGGGACAAGCGAGTTGATACCTTTAAATTCTTGTTTGAGTTCTTTAAAAAGGATCACAAGTTATTGGTTGAGCTGCTTGAAGTAGATGAGGCTGAGACTCTATACACAGCAGCCTACAATTGTGCTTACTTTCCTGACCAAATTGACAGTTTTGATAGGAAAATTATTAAGGATTTGGGAAGGAAGTACTTGAGTAAGGATGAGTATGAGAGGTTTGTGACTGGAAGGGATCAAAAAGGAGTGATTTTGTATGGATTGTATGTGTTTAATAGGCAGGATGTAGGCAAGACTGGAGCTAGAAGAGTGTTTCATGATGAGTATGATTTAGATGAAAAGATCCTCAAAAATGAGGACAAGATTGTTGTTTTTAAGAAGATTGTGAAGCTGTTGACCAAAAGTGAGGTTAAGGAGCTTCTAACCTCAATATCCAGTCCTATAAACTATAAAGAATTCGACTTGATTGTCCATCCAAAATTCTGGAATATTTCACAAAAGTTCTTATCAGAACAAGACCAAAAACAGCAAATATCCAGCATATTCTACGGATTATCAAGGCACAATGACCCAGCTCCTTACCTCCCGTCCTTGATCTCTAAGACAGTCAACATCCTAACACCTTCAGAAGTCCACAAACTCTTTAAATCCAAGAACATCCTCCACCGATCAGTCCACAATTTTGAACCATTTTGGAACTTTTTCGTCAACCAGACAACAGCCGACCAACAAACAGACATGCTGAACTTAGAAATTGACGGGGAGTGCTTCTATTACTATCTTTACTCGCCCAACCAAAACTGTTACTTTTACCCGCCTTTTAATATCTTCCATGTGACTCTAATCAGCCAATATCCAAGCAGCTATGACTCCTTACAAGCATTTGAATTTATCAGGCAAATTTATGAGAAATATTTCGATAAATCTGAGATGCAGGACATGATTCTCGATTCTAATGACTTTATGCCTTACATGATCAGGTTGACACCATTTGAGAGCTGCGAGCGGTTTGTAGAATTTTTGAGGGATTTATTTAAAGGAAGTGAAGGAAAATTGAAGGAATTTCTGCTTAGAAGAATTAATCCGACTAGCTTTAATATTTTTGAATATTTGGACAACATTGGGGTTGAGAATATTAGTAAGAATGTTAAGTTGCTGTCCGATATGTTAGATTACATTGATAAGTTGTAATTAAATCTGTAATTGGTGATGGTAGGTAATTAGTATTAAATGGTAAGTGTCGAGAGTTCAGCTTAATTGGGTTTCTTGTGTATAATCTTGGATATGCTGTCTTGATGGCTTTACTTGATATTCATATTTTTTTTTTATTTTAATTGCACTTAATTGCATTTATTGACGATTACTGTCCGGTAATAATTCACATTTTACACTTTTGTATTTGTATACATATGAAATAATATTATGTAGGATCAAACTGCTAATCTTCAAATCTAGGTTTCAAATAAGCTAAGGCTCTCGTTTCGATCTTTTGTATGCGTGACGTGATACTTTTCAGGTCCGTTCTAACAATATTCCATTCGTGGGTAATCTTGTAGCTCTCGTTCCTATTTCTCCCGCTACACTTCAAGTTCCTGACCCGTTCCTTAATCCAACGTTGCCTAAATACCCAATTATGGCTTGATCTCCTACATTAAGCAGTCGAAGTATCTAAACTTCCGAAAAAGAACAAATTTGGAAATGGCTGGATTCGAACCGACGACTTTCGAGTTACCATCCCAAATTTGAGCCAAGCGCCTTACCTATTCGACCAGCAAGGCACTTAACGGCTTGTTAATGTTAATACAATCGGAGTCGACTTTGAGCTCTGCCTGTTTTAAGGATACTTCTAGGATATACAACCATGATTTACCATTTAACAAAAGATTGTTCTAAGAAATCATTTCGCTTTAACGTGTCTGGCTGGCAGTCTTTTCTGATGGTACTATCGTCTAATTAAAGTCAAGTATGGCTGGCTGGCTGGCAGCTTCAAACATTGCAACGGAAGCACCTAGAGCCTGTGTTTTTCTTTGCATTTAAATAGCTGCTGTATCATGAAGGTGCGCAACTCAAGATCACACTCTTCATTATGTGTTAAGCTACTCTTCTAAGCTGTTCTTGTACAACTTTTCGAAAAGAATAAGTAAACATCTAACCTTAAAATTATTCAATTTAAATCATACGAAATTATATTAAAGTACTGAGATGGAGGCAATCTTATCTAAAGTTAAGTATTAGATTACATTTGTCATATAAAATGCTACCTGACCGTACCTAAGTGTAATTTTCTAGATTAGATTACAAAAGACATTTATTTTACTGTTAAATTTTTTATTAATAATTAAATCACAATTTTAAATAAAATCACAAATAATTGACCTTAAACATATAAATGCTTTTTTTCCATATGTTCTATAAATTTAATTTTTGTTTTAAATATTTTACAGCAATAGTCACACTGGTACGTAACATCAGAATGACATGTCTTTAAATGCATCTTTAAACTTGCATTACTTTTGTATAAATTATTGCAAATTTTACATTTCTTTGGATTCTTTATCTTCGCTTCTCGTTCATCTTTCCGCTTATGAGCATCTAAATGTCTTTTATACAGTTGATTGTCTGCTGATGCGTAGCTGCATCTGTCACATTTGAAATTCTTTTCCTTATTATTGTGCTTATATAAATGCCTTTTAAGGACGACTTTTTCATTAAATTTCATCTCACAAATGTGACATTTAAAGCTGCCTGGATTCTCATGAGTCTGATGGACATGGACATTTAAGTCATATTGAAGTCGGAATTTACGGAAGCAAACTAAGCAGTTGAATTTTTTTAAATGAACTTTCTCATGTCTTTTCAGGTCCTTGTCAGCTTTGAATGTCTTCTCACACATTTTACAGTTGAACTTCCTATCATTTACATGAAAGTCCCTCAGGTGCTCCGGCATCGACTCATGCTTAAGTTTTAAATGACAAATTTCACACTCAATTCTCGGACGATGAGTAAGCACATGATAATAAAACTTTGCTTTCTTTTTGAACTCTTTACCACAATAATCACAAATGAATGGCTGGAACTTTTTATTCAAATGCTTGATCGTCATGTGTGACTTGATTCCGATTAGGGTTGGGCATTTAGAGAAGCACAAATCACATGTGTACAACTTGTCTGAATGGACTTTACTCATATGATTATTATGGACGCTAAAGGATAATGATTTGGTTGGGCAGAATCTGCATTGAATGGTTTTAAGATGTTTAGGAACGTCTGAAGTTGATTTTTTGATTGTTTGTGGTGATTTATTGATAGTTTGTGGATTTCTGGATGTCCTTGAGCTTCTGAGAACTCGAGAAGTCTTTAAAATTTCACAACTGTTAGGGTTTATTCTTTCTGAGCATCTTTGAGAATTTTCGACAATATTTCCCGATTTTTGTGGCCTTTCCAACTCAATTTCTTCAAGTTTGACCAATCTTGGGGTGTCTTGTTCCTCAATTTTGATCTTTTTGGCGACATGAAACACATCAGACTTCAAGTTTGGCTCCAAAACTGCCAAATATTCTCTTTCCGGCTCAATTTTGATATTTTTGAATATTTCAGGTTTATAATTTGACTCTAGCTGAACAAAGTCGGATAATATGACTCGACATTTACGGATTCTTGGTGATTCTAGTGTCGCTTCCTTAGTTGTAAGTTTCTGATTGGTTGATACCTTTGAGATTGATATTTTTCTTGGCATCTTTACTGAATTGCTTTACTATCGACTTTAGACTGAACTGGTGATTAAAATTGATCAGGTAATTTATAAAATTAATTTTCAATGAGATTAAAGATTAAAATAAGGTTTAGGTAGATTATTGGAATTTACTTTATAAACTTTTATTGTGGCTTATTTTTAAATATGAAAAATGTTGAAAAAGGACTAAAATCACCAAATGGTTCATCCTAAGCAGGAATCAAACTTTGCACCTCTTGATTGCTGATCAAGTGTTTTGAGTTGTCTGGGCACTTGACCGGCAGGAATCAAACCTCGCACCTATCAACTGCCGGTCAAATGTTTTAAGTTGTCTGGGCACTTAACGTAAGAATCGAATTTCACAACTATCGATTGCCGGTCAAGTCTTTTAAACGGTCTGAGCATTTGACCAGCAATAGATAGATGCGAGGTTCGATTCCCGCATTGAATAAAAAATTGGGTGAACTTCGTTTTTTCAAAAACAAGCAAAAATCTTCTTGAACTTTAATTTTTTCTTTTCATTTATTAGCAGAGCCTTTTTGTTTAGAACCTCCAAATCCCTTAGCAAGCCTACAACACTTTTTAACATGATTTATCAAATAAGCTACAGCTTTGTATTTTTTGTCACAATAATCACAACTATAAACTCGATGCTTGCATTTATAATGCCTCGAAAAGAATACAAAATTGCCAAAAACTTGTGAGCATATCCTGCATTCAAGTTTATTATTCACACTTTTCCAAAACGAATCAATTCGTTGATGACACGTCAAATGTTTTGTGAATTGCTGCTTATCAGCTGATGCAAAGTCACATTTTTGACATTTTAAGTACTTTACCTTTGGTATCCCAGCATGAAGCCAAACGTGTCTCTTGATGACAACTTTTTCATAAAATTTCATTCCACAATAATCGCATTCGAAGCGTCTTGGATTGTCATGGAACTGCTCAATGTGCTTATTTAAGTCGTATTGTAGTCGGAACTTTTTTGGACATTTTTTGCATTTAAACTTCTTCAAATGAACCTTTTCGTGTCTTCTAACATCCTTTTTAGCTTTAAATGTCATCAAACATTTGCTGCAGCTGAACTTCCGTCCAACAGCATGATAATCTCGAACATGCTCTTTCATTGACATAGGTGTAAGCATAGCTTGACAGATTTTACATTCAATTCTTCGATTTTTTCTTGATTTCATGAATCGCCATGTTGGTTTACGCATTGCTGATCGAATGGGTTTGGATGTTGATTGAGGTTTGTTGACTTTTGGATGTTTTGAAGTAATTTTGAGGTTATTTTTAGGTTTTATTGTTGATTTAGCTGCTTTTGGCTTAAGCTCATGATTGTCTAGCTCAACTTCATCTGAGGAATCACCGATTATGATCAAATCATTGTGTTTAGATGAAGCTGGCCTATTCTTTAACGTTATTGTGTACTCTGCTTCAGTTTCATGTTTAACTGACCTTGTTTTGTGGTTTGTGATGTAATTTGGAGTAAGTTTCTTGTCATTTTTGATAGTTTCATCCTTATTTTGATCAATTGGATCATCTGGATTGCTGAGCAGAGATGTTGATGCAGATTTGAGATTGTGTGAAACTACCACTGACTGTAACATTGGCTCAGGTGCCTCATCCAAGTTGTTATCAACATCTTCATCGTTGCTAAAGTCTTCAGATTGATTTTCAACGTTTTCCTCTTTATTTTCTAGTTTACAATTCTTTGCTGGACATAAATTGCTAGTCAGTGGAATAACTATCAAACTTTGAACTTCTTTTTCATGCTTAACGTTTTTGTTGGTGTTAATTCTTCCTCTTAACATGATGTCTTCAAGGATAACTCTGCAATTTTTGAGGTCATGGTCGATTTTTGTTGGATTTCTTTCAGAATAACAGTGAAGAGGCACTTGACAATATTCTGATATTTTTTTTGACATTTGATTTGCCGTCTATCTTTAATTGTATGTTCGTTTATTGTACAAATCAGCACTATGTTCAGTTTACTTCAAGTTTGTTTCCATTAAATATTATTTAAAGTTTCACATTTTTTTTATTTTAATACCAATTCGAAACTTTTTCAATTTTTATAGGTTTTACTGTTGTTACTGTTATTTGAATTGTGGGCGTGAAGCACGGCCGAGACCCATATCGACACAGTTCAAAAGTTATACCTAATTTATGTCATAATTATGTCAACTCCAAAAACACTTATTTTGAATTTTGTCAACCTTTGGGAACATTATGAACCAGTATAGCTGATTTTGGTCCAAATCTCGGCCATACTTCACACTTATTTGAACCACATTTTCTCGTAAATGTTAAAATATTATTAAAAAGTAATTAATCCTGAATTATGTCGTTATTTTGTCAAGTATTTTAAGATAAAATATTTGTTTTTTGGTTTTAAACACTAGAATATTTATGCAAAGTTTCAATTCATTTGGATAAACCCTCAAATAAAAAAGTGACGAAATTGATTTTGACTAGGGTCGCCTCTAGTCCAAAATTGAAAATGTATTTCCTACTTGGTTCTTTGCTCAAAAAAATTTTAAGATGTTTTATTTGTATTTGTTTTAAGCACTTAAATATTTATGCAAAGTTTCAATCCATTTGGATAAACCCTCGAAGAAAAAAGTGACAAAATTGAATTTTACTAGGGTCGCCCCTAGTCCAAAATTGAAAATGTATTTCCTACTTGGTTCTTTGCTCAAAAAATTTTTAAGATATTTTATTTGTTTTTGTTTTAAGCACACAAATATTTATGCAAAGTTTCAATCCATTTGGATAAACCCTCAAAGAAAAAAGTGACAAAAATGATTTTGACTAGAGTCGCCCCTACTCCAAAATTTAAAATGTATTTCCTACTTGGTTCTTTGCTCAAAAATATTTTAAGATGTTTATTTGTATTTGTTGTAAGCACTAAAATATTTATGCAAAGTTTCAATCCATTTGGATAAACCCTCGAAGAAAAAAGTGACAAAATTGAATTTTACTAGGGTCGCCCCTAGTCCAAAATTTAAAATGTATTTCCTACTTGGTTCTTTGCTCAAAAATATTTTAAGATGTTTATTTGTATTTGTTGTAAGCACTAAAATATTTATGCAAAGTTTCAATCCATTTGGATAAACCCTCGAAGAAAAAAGTGACAAAATTGATTTGACTAGGGTCGCCCCTAGTCCAAAATTGAAAATGTATTTCCTACTTGGTTCTTTGCTCAAAAATATTTTAAGATGTTTATTTGTATTTGTTGTAAGCACTAAAATATTTATGCAAAGTTTCAATTCATTTGGATAAACCCTCGAAGAAAAAAGTGACAAAATTGATTTGACTAGGGTCGCCCCTAGTCCAAAATTGAAAATGTATTTCCTACTTGGTTCTTTGCTCAAAAATATTTTAAGATGTTTATTTGTATTTGTTGTAAGCACTGAAATATTTATGCAAAGTTTCAATTCATTTGGATAAACCCTCGAAGAAAAAAGTGACAAAATTGATTTGACTAGGGTCGCCCCTAGTCCAAAATTGAAAATGTATTTCCTACTTGGTTCTTTGCTCAAAAAATTTTTAAGATATTTTATTTGTATTTGTTTTAAGCACAAAAATATTTATGCAAAGTTTCAATCCATTTGGATAAACCCTCAAAGAAAAAAGTGACAAAAATGATTTTGACTAGAGTCGCCCCTACTCCAAAATTTAAAATGTATTTCCTACTTGGTTCTTTGCTCAAAAAAATTTTAAAATGTTTGTTTTAAGCACTTAAATATTTATGCAAAGTTTCAATCCATTTGGATAAACCCTCGAAGAAAAAAGTGACAAAATTGATTTTGACTAGGGTCGCCCCTAGTCCAAAGTTGAAAATGTATTTCCTACTTGGTTCTTTGCTCAAAAATATTTTAAGATGTTTATTTGTATTTGTTGTAAGCACTGAAATATTTATGCAAAGTTTCAATCCATTTGGATAAACCCTCGAAGAAAAAAGTGACAAAATTGATTTGACTAGGGTCGCCCCTAGTCCAAAATTGAAAATGTATTTCCTACTTGGTTCTTTGCTCAAAAATATTTTAAGATGTTTATTTGTATTTGTTGTAAGCACTAAAATATTTATGCAAAGTTTCAATCCATTTGGATAAACCCTCGAAGAAAAAAGTGACAAAATTGATTTGACTAGGGTCGCCCCTAGTCCAAAATTGAAAATGTATTTCCTACTTGGTTCTTTGCTCAAAAATATTTTAAGATGTTTATTTGTATTTGTTGTAAGCATTGAAATATTTATGCAAAGTTTCAATCCATTTGGATAAACCCTCGAAGAAAAAAGTGACAAAATTGATTTGACTAGGGTCGCCCCTAGTCCAAAATTGAAAATGTATTTCCTACTTGGTTCTTTGCTCAAAAAAATTCTAAGATATTTTATTTGTATTTGTTTTAAGCACAAAAATATTTATGCAAAGTTTCAATCCATTTGGATAAACCCTCGAAGAAAAAAGTGACAAAATTGAATTTTACTAGGGTCGCCCCTAGTCCAAAATTGAAAATGTATTTCCTACTTGGTTCTTTGCTCAAAAAAATTTTAAGATATTTTATTTGTATTTGTTTTAAGCACAAAAATATTTATGCAAAGTTTCAATCCATTTGGATAAACCCTCGAAGAAAAAAGTGACGAAATTGATTTTGACTAGGGCCGCCCCTAGTCCAAAATTTAAAATGTATTTCCTACTTGGTTCTTTGCTCAAAAAAATTTTAAAATGTTTATTTGTATTTGTTATAAGCACTGAAATATTTATGCAAAGTTTCAATCCATTTGGATAAACCCTCGAAGAAAAAAGTGACAAAATTGATTTTGACTAGGGTCGCCCCTAGTCCAAAATTGAAAATGTATTTCCTACTTGGTTCTTTGCTCAAAAATATTTTAAGATGTTTATTTGTATTTGTTGTAAGCACTGAAATATTTATGCAAAGTTTCAATCCATTTGGATAAACCCTCGAAGAAAAAAGTGACAAAATTGATTTGACTAGGGTCGCCCCTAGTCCAAAATTGAAAATGTATTTCCTACTTGGTTCTTTGCTCAAAAATATTTTAAGATGTTTATTTGTATTTGTTGTAAGCACTAAAATATTTATGCAAAGTTTCAATCCATTTGGATAAACCCTCGAAGAAAAAAGTGACAAAATTGATTTGACTAGGGTCGCCCCTAGTCCAAAATTTAAAATGTATTTCCTACTTGGTTCTTTGCTCAAAAAAATTTTAAAATGTTTGTTTTAAGCACTTAAATATTTATGCAAAGTTTCAATTCATTTGGATAAACCCTCGAAGAAAAAAGTGACAAAATTGATTTTGACTAGGGTCGCCCCTAGTCCAAAATTGAAAATGTATTTCCTACTTGGTTCTTTGCTCAAAAATATTTTAAGATGTTTATTTGTATTTGTTGTAAGCACTGAAATATTTATGCAAAGTTTCAATCCATTTGGATAAACCCTCGAAGAAAAAAGTGACAAAATTGATTTGACTAGGGTCGCCCCTAGTCCAAAATTGAAAATGTATTTCCTACTTGGTTCTTTGCTCAAAAAAATTTTAAGATATTTTATTTGTATTTGTTTTAAGCACAAAAATATTTATGCAAAGTTTCAATCCATTTGGATAAACCCTCGAAGAAAAAAGTGACAAAATTGATTTTGACTAGGGTCGCCCCTAGTCCAAAATTGAAAATGTATTTCCTACTTGGTTCTTTGCTCAAAAATATTTTAAGATGTTTATTTGTATTTGTTGTAAGCACTGAAATATTTATGCAAAGTTTCAATCCATTTGGATAAACCCTCGAAGAAAAAAGTGACAAAATTGATTTGACTAGGGTCGCCCCTAGTCCAAAATTGAAAATGTATTTCCTACTTGGTTCTTTGCTCAAAAATATTTTAAGATGTTTATTTGTATTTGTTGTAAGCACTAAAATATTTATGCAAAGTTTCAATCCATTTGGATAAACCCTCGAAGAAAAAAGTGACAAAATTGATTTGACTAGGGTCGCCCCTAGTCCAAAATTGAAAATGTATTTCCTACTTGGTTCTTTGCTCAAAAATATTTTAAGATATTTTATTTGTATTTGTTTTAAGCACAAAAATATTTATGCAAAGTTTCAATCCATTTGGATAAACCCTCGAAGAAAAAAGTGACAAAATTGAATTTTACTAGGGTCGCCCCTAGTCCAAAATTGAAAATGTATTTCCTACTTGGTTCTTTGCTCAAAAAATTTTTAAGATATTTTATTTGTATTTGTTTTAAGCACAAAAATATTTATGCAAAGTTTCAATCCATTTGGATAAACCCTCAAAGAAAAAAGTGACAAAAATGATTTTGACTAGAGTCGCCCCTACTCCAAAATTTAAAATGTATTTCCTACTTGGTTCTTTGCTCAAAAAAATTTTAAAATGTTTGTTTTAAGCACTTAAATATTTATGCAAAGTTTCAATCTATTTGGATAAACCCTCGAAGAAAAAAGTGACAAAATTGATTTTGACTAGGGTCGCCCCTAGTCCAAAATTGAAAATGTATTTCCTACTTGGTTCTTTGCTCAAAAAAATTTTAAAATGTTTTATTTGTATTTGTTTTAAGCACAAGAATATTTATGCAAAGTTTTAATCCATTTGGATAAACCCTCGAAGAAAAAAGTGACAAAATTGAATTTTGACTAGGGTCGCCCCTAGTCCAAAATTGAAAATGTATTTCCTACTTGGTTCTTGAATATCTCCTGAATATCCCGAACTGCTAGAAGGTGTCGAAAGGATAGATTTTTAGTCTTTAGATGATCTCTAAGCTCGGCAATGTGCCCAAGTGCACCCCATCAAAGGAAGTAAGGAAGTAGATTTGAATTGATGAAATGTAGCTTAAAACTATTAAAACATGTAAATTAGCTTTAATTTAACTAAACTTTTATTATGTTTATCAAACAAAAAAATTGTGATTGAACTAAACAGCAAATTGGTTTGTTTTCCTTCCAATAAATTACTTCCTCCCACGCACAGCAAATCGATCTGCAGGAATCCCATTAATCCAATCAATAAACTTAGTCACATCAGTAAATACAGCATAAGTGTCAACATCGCATCCACGATTTGCATTCAGTAAAGATGACGAAACAATTCCACGAATATAATAAGCACTGCCGTCAGTAACGATTAATCCACTTCCACTGTCGCCTGTACACACACCAATCCCTCTGCCTGATCCACCACAAAATGTCCGTCCACTAGATATTAAAGCTAGTCCATCATTATCTGCAAAGCAGTTAGGATTGCTATGAATTGGAGTTGAGAGGATTTTTGGGATGTTTTCATGAATTTTCGTAGTGTCTTCACTCTTGCCATATCCAATGACTGATCCACTCGAAATTGTTGTTACTTTTGAGTTAGGAATTGGCATGCATATTGGCTGAACATGTTCACTAAATGTGACATCCTTTTCAAGCACCAATACAGCAATATCAGCATCATAAGACTGAGTTAATGTATTCCAATCAGGATGAACATTAATGCTATAAACAGCATGAAAAGCTCTTCCAATTTCGTACGGATTATTCAAGTCATGTGTACCAAAAACAACAATTAAGTTACTGGCTTGCAACCGAGAAAGCGATTTCTTTTCTTGCATGCAGTGAGCAGCTGTGAATGAATTATAATTGGAACTATTCAGGGCTTTAGGATTAAAATCAAGATGCATACCTGTGACAACTTTACGACTTGATATGAGCGTCCCTCCACAAAAATATTTCCCTTTTGGTGTTATCAATATGGCTGTCCTGAAAATTGTGATAAAATATTTAGAAACTGGTATGCAACTTGTATGCAACTTGATGCTCAAGTTGCTGTCAAGTCTCGTCAATTCTCGTCAAGTCTCGTCAATTCTCGTCAAGTCTCGTCAATTCTCGTTAAGACTCTTGCAAGTCTCTTCAAGTCTCGTCAATTCTCGTCAATTCTCGTCAAGTCTCGTCAAGTCTCTTGCAAGTCTCGTCAATTCTCGTCAAGTCTCGTCAAGTCTCTTTAAGTCTCGTCAAGTCTCGTCAAGTCTCTTGCAAGTCTCTTGCAAGTCTCTTGCAAGTCTCTTTAAGTCTCGTCAATTCTCGTCAATTCTCCTCAAGTCTCTTCAAGTCTCGTCAATTCTCGTCAAGTCTCGTCAAGTCTCTTGCAAGTCTCGTCAAGTCTCGTCAAGTCTCTTGCAAGTCTCTTGCAAGTCTCGTCAAGTCTCGTCAAGTCTCTTGCAAGTCTCGTCAAGTCTCGTTAAATCTCGTCAAGTCTCGTCAAGTCTCGTCAAATCTCATCAAGTCTCGTCAAGTCTCGTCAAGTCTCGTCAAGTCTCGTCAAGTCTCGTCAAGTCTCGTCAAGTCTCGTCAAATCTCATCAAGTCTCTTGCAAGTCTCGTCAATTCTCGTCAAGTCTCTTGCAAGTATCGTCAAGTCTGTCAAGGCTGTAAAGTCTGTGAGTCTGTCAACTTACCAAGGATTGTCACCACTATTGATCCGAGCTCCTCCAATGATGTTGCCACGTCCATTTTTAGTTCGTCCACATGCAAGATTTGTATTAGCTGTTTGAATTATTACTGGAGATGGATTGTTGGTCTGCGGTTGAGTTCCAAATTGATAGTTGCTGAAGCATCTCTTTAAATATGAAAGAATTTCATTTCTAGTTTCGCAATGCAATTGACTACAAATATTATTTTCCATATTAATGAGACTGACTGCTGTATTGTCGATGAATTTTGGATCTATTGCATTAATTCTGTTATTTCCAAGATAAACTTTTGCCAGACGACTGTGAACACCAAATGATGCTGAATGGATTATTGTCAATTTATTATTATCCAAACTTGTCTCTTTTAAATTCCTTAGTGGAGCAAAGACACCAGTTGGAAGTTCGGATATGTCATTGCCGCGCAGGTTTAGCACTTGTAAATTCAGAAGTCCAGCAAAGCTGTCTGATTTGAGAACTTTAATTCCATTTTCATACATAAATAACAGCTCTAAGTTCTTTAATGCTGCAAAGCATTTCGATGGAATTTCCAAAATTTGATTGCCATCCAAGCCCAACCTCCTTAAATTCTGTAGATTCACAAACCATTGAGGATCTATTGACTGCAGCTGATTGTTGTACAATTGAAGTGATAAAAGCCTCACAAGTGGATAGAAAATGTTGCTTGGTAAGAAATTAATTTGATTATCGCTCAAGTCCAGTGCCTCAAGACGTCCTTGATTCGCGAATAAATTTTGTGGCAATGAAGTCAATTGATTACTTTGCAGCCATAATAAAGTCAACTTTGAGTTTCGAATCAGCAAATATTCAGGAACTGCACGAAGTTTATTGTTATCAAGCAGCAGATGATCCAAATTTGGGCAGTAAAGTAAAGAATTTTCATCAATTGATTCCAGTTCAACCTCATTTGCCCTTACAACTTCAAGATTTGGAAACTTTTGACAGAAAATTGATGAAAATGTTCTCAATTTCATCTCATTATACAAGCTGATCCACTTTACATTGTTGTCTTTATGTCGTGCTTTATGCTGTCCATCGATTCTGATGATATTTTGATAATAATTTGATTGTCTTGTGTCCAAATCGCATTTATAGTATGAAGCATTTGTTGCTTTATAGCCAATTGTCCAATGGTTTTGGTAAAGATAGTCACATCGTGCGATTTGTGATTTAATTTCAAGAATTAAGTGGATTATTGATGCTAATTTGATGAGGATGTGAAGGAATTTTGTCATTTTATAAGAAAATTCTATGAAACCAATGCGAAAAATTAAGAATGTGGTCCGAAAGATCAGCAAGCAAGACACAAACTGAAACATAAACATCAGAATTTGTGGAAAAAACCCATCAAAAGGGAGAAGATGTTATGACAAATAGAATGGAATCTAACAAACACACAAATAGCACTTTTGAGAGAAAAGAAGATGTTAATAAGCTGAAATATCAGCCATAAATCAATGGATCAATAAGGGACCGTTCACTTATGACGTCCAGGGGGGGGGGGGCTGGGTCAGCAAGAAAACAACAATAGAAATTCCTGGAAATCCATTGTTCTTTTTTGAAAAATGACCGTTAATTTCGGACGTCATAAGTGAATGACTCCTTACATAGTTCAGTGGTTACCAACCTTAGTTCCACGGCACACTTGGTGGTAAGCCATGACAAAAACCGCACACAACGATTCGTGGGTTATCCTAATTTTTTTCACTGCACAGTAGTGTGCCGTGACACACGGGTTGACCATCACTGACATAGTTCATTCAAAAATACAAAAAAAGATTATTTAAATTTTGTTTTTGAGGCAGGTTCATCAATTGACAATTCAAATCAAACTTAAATGGACGAATCAGCAAAAAGGGGAAATCTCAGTAAAATCCGCTAAAATTCTCATGACTTGCAGAGGCTGGAAAATCTCCAAATGCTTGCAGCTTATGTCAATTTCTTCTGTATAGATGTTGAAGCTGTTTAGAATTAGCTTTAATGCAACTGCAAAGTGTTGATGCATTTTATGAAAATCTTTGTAGTTTTTACGCGATAGGCACACATTGAAATGTTTGCGACCCGTCAGCCGGGTTGAAAGTATAATTAGAACCATCCACTAGCTACCACTTGGCATCCAGTTGAAAGTTGCTTCTAAGCGGTTGCCGCTTGGTTCTAGTCTGCTTGGTCTGTAATTCCATGATTTTCTATAAGTTTGACTCCATCCACATCAGCATGGACTGCTTCGAAGCACAGTTTTTTCTGTTAAATTGCGTGACTGCTCGTCTGACCGTCTGTCTCCTTCTCATTTAAAACAATTAAACAACAAAATGACTTTTAAGTATTTTTTTATTTCAATATTCAAATTCAATTGCAAAATTCCTCACACTCCACATATCTAATATGTCTTTATAATCCGTGCTACTCAATAGCTCATTCGCATACTTTTCAAAAACTACTTTGTCTGCGTTATTATCCATAATGTTGATGTTTCCATAGAAAAATTCACGCATTTCTTCATTCGAAAACTTTTGATTGACTAAAAATTTCATAAAATCATCAAATTTTTGGATACTTTGAAGCTTTTGTAGATCAAAACCATAGCCAGTCGCATTCTTGATTGCATTTGAGTAGTTTGCATTCAATCTGTGCTGCCATAAAATTGATAGAAAATTTGCAGACTGATATTTTCCCGCCAAAACTTTCCTAGCATCTTCTGAGCTGAAATTGTCATCAACAACTGCCTTCATGTCTGCGACTTGATCAGCTTTTGTGGCTAGTTCCAAAAATCTATGAAAAAATGTCCGATTTTCGTTGACATTCCACAAACAATCGATAATTTTGATGTCTTTTTTAAAGAATTTTGTGGCAATTCCAATTCTCTCGTCTGCAAATTTTGATGCTAAACACAGCAACAAGTTTGGGTAGCTATGGCAAAGAAGGTCTGTGTACACAGGATTAAATGAAGCATCAACTTGGTCCTCATAAGAATCTATAAATCCAATCATATGTTCTGTTACAATCCTGTAACGAGTATTGACAGCAAAGAAGACATAAAATAGGAATTGCAATCTACGTTCAGCTTCATGCTCATCAATACTTCCATTCTTTGGGTTCCAAATGTTGTCAAATAAATATTGAGCGATGAAAAAGTCTCGAAAAATTTGATCCTCAAAAATTATTTCGTCCCCATTTTTATGGACAACCCCCAAGCTCAAAATAATGTTGACATTCGTGTAGATTGTAAGATTGTGAATTTCCAGGTCTCTACAGTTGCTATCGTAGTCTCCATTGATGATGTTATAGACTGGATATCTTAAAATTTGATTCATCACAAAATGTTGGATAGTTTTTGTAATTAAGTCCAATTTTTGTGGGTCATGCTGACATGATTCATAGTTTTCTGCTAAAATCTCATGGAAGTAAGTCTCATAAATTCTATACAAGTTCAATCCATTCCCAAATGTGATGTTTTTTGAGTAAAAATCACAAATAATATGAAGAATCTGAGGATTTGTGTCAAAATTATCTAAAACTTCTTCAGGATCCTTCAACGACTTTATAAGCTTGATTATGAAATCGTTAAATTCTTCTAAAACCTTGGATGCATTAAAGTATTCCAAACTATTAACTTTAACATATTTCTTCACATATTCTTTCTTGTCGTCTTCATTAAACCTCACAAAATTGTAAGCCTCAATCCCGAATTCATTAACAAATTCATCTCCAAGATGTGGACTGGTTGCTATCCACTGCTTATTGTCTGTTAACATTGATATAACTTTAATCAAATCTATCGTTTCATTAACCATTTTGTCATTGTATTTAGCATCCAAATTTGCAGCTCCACCTTCACTTAACCTCAAAACCTCCTCAATATCCTCCATAAGAACCTCACCAACTCCATCCCACAAGATAATTGTCTCATTTGACAGGAACTTCCTCGAAAAAACATCAATTTCAACTTTTGAGGTTAGGTTTAAAAGTTTTAAAGACAAAAAGTCGACGAGAGTTGTGAAATTTGCATCAGTTTTAGGAACATCCTGTAGAACATGAATATGCTGCTTCAGATCGACGTAAGAAATCCATTTTAATGGAAATCGTTGCTTTAACTTCCATGCCATGTGATGGAAGTAAGTTGACTTGCCGCTACCGCCTTTGTCGGATAGGAGGAAGAGCTTGAGTTTCGTGAGCTCATGAAAGTCGTAAGTCATGCCTGAAGAATTGTCAAAAGATGAATTTGCTGGTTTGATTGCTCTTTCGACATAGAATTTGGTGCTAATATTGACTTTTTTGTGGATCTAAGAAGATTAATGCTATGAAAATCAGAACAATTGTGAATAATAATTGCGAACTTACCCTCAAAGCTGATGTCCCAAAAGCATTCAGCATTTCTGCAATTTCCTGTGGTCTCAAATGCTCACAATCTGATGAGTTCCTGCCAAATAAATCACCAAAAATGACATTGACGCCTTGAAAATCGACAGTTGACTCAAAAATCTTCAAAAGTTTCTCATTGGTAATGTCTTTGCAGCTAGTGAGTGGTTTGATCTTCAGCCGAATTCCAAACCAAATGATAATTGGGAAAGCAATGGCCAGCGCTACTATTATTCGGATCTGATGTTTACTACAGCCTTTGCAGTCTTTAATTGGACTCTCAGACTCAAGGAGTGGATGTTCCTCAATCCTTTTGATCTCCATGAACTCCTTAATCTCCTTCGTCGCCAACTTAATCTCAAAATTCTTCGGAAAACATGAATTTGCCTTCAATAAATCCAAAACAATATGAAAATGTTGATTATTCCATGCCAGATCCACAGCAGTCGTCTCATGCACCTTCTCATTGACATTAAAACCTGATTTAAGGCACAAATTGACAGCATTTGAGTCACCATGTTCAGCAGCAATCATTAACAAGTTAAATCCACTCAAATTTCTCAGCATAAGCTTGTCAACTTCCAAAATTGTCTCAGTCGATTGAAAATCAGTTGAAAATCCACAATATCCATCAAGTCTTATCGACGATGCCAAAAAATTGATGACAAATTTTGAAATTTCTTTTTGAATTCGCGTATAAAAAATTTTGTCATCTTGAAATTTCCAAAAGATTTGAACTTGCTCGTGCCTTGAACTTTCCATTGAAATAAGAAAAATTTTCTTGTCAAATTTTTGGATGAATTTTTGAATTTCTGATGGATTGATGGAAGTTAAGTCAGCGATGTCGATTTTGAGGATGAATATTGAAGCTTGGTTGTTCAAGTAGCTGACGAAGTAGACTTTAGTCAGGAAGTCAATGAGTGTTTGGAGGTGTAGACAGTTTTTGATGGAAATGCCGTTGAAGTTGGCTAATCTAAATGGAAATTTATGCTTAAAGTTCACATCTGAGAAGTCAGTCTCGTAGAATTTGGCATTAAAATGAGGTTCTTTAATGGATTGAACTGACGATGTCAGAAATAATGGAGTCAAGTCTGAAAGAATTGAAATAAATTAATTTTAGATTTTTAATTGAATTTTATTTGAATCATCCGATCGTCAAAATGGTAAAATATCAGCCATAACTGTCCTTTCAGGTTCATCTACATCTCATTCACATCAACACACAAATTTAGAGGAACTTTATTAACAAGCGTTTGTGCCTCAGACATAAGAACATTGATAATGTCATGAGAAATGTCAAAAAGCTAGTTTTATACCAAACACGTGCGGCATTTGCCGATAATTATTTAAATTTATGTTAATTTGTTATGACTGTGTAGCCATAAAGTCTGCAACTTACCATTTAACTCGATTGACATGGTTGTTTATGCTGATTATTTACTTATACTTCTACTTTACTGTCTTGTTGATGTTAACTAGCTTTAAAATTATTCAATTAATTTAATCGAACCAACTTTAATCAGTAATAAGTACTAGAAAAATATTTTGCAGCCGTTAAAGTCTTTAAAAGAGATGAAGCTTGAGCAGTAAACGAAGAGAGACTGATTGTCACAATTTTTCGTGTTTGTGTCTTTAGCAAAAATTCAGTAAGTTCTCTCTGAGAGATTTTGTTCGTTGCATAATAAAATTGTGATTGGTTTCTGTTGCATAAGCACAGTTTTGTCTGTCTGTCTGTCTGTTGGTTGTTGTCAGTTGCTGGTCAGTTTTTGTCAATGTGTGCCTTCGTTAAAAAAAGGTTGTTCACTGTGACTTTGGCCGTATATCTCAAAAAGCAAAATATCTGACTTATATGGTAAGCCAGTAGTGTACAACCTTTTTTACATCATGACACACGTAGGGAAGCAATGACAAAAGAGCACATGGCAAAGGGATTTGTAAATCATTAGTGTGCCGCGGCACATAAGTTGACCATCACTGTACTTAATAATTATATCCGCAAATTCAACAATTGCTAATTCTCACCAATATTTATGTTAAGCGTCAATTTTAAACATTGTTTATCTCAAACCAAACCAGCATCCGTTTATGCTGCTAAGTACTGATAAAAACTTTTATTAAAGAGCAGAATCGCTTCTCATGAGCCGGCAGAAACTGAATGAAATTACATTCTTATTATTCTCTTTCTTTTGTTATTTTATACACGACTTGTGAGCTGATAAGCTGCATTTTAATTCATTTGTCGATTTGGTTTTGTGGCTGTTAAATTTGGGGTATTTTCAAGCTTTTGGGGCATTGGACGCTGAATACTTTATTGGACTAGAATTAAGTTTTCAAGCTTTTGGGGAATTGAACACTGAATACTTTATAGACTAGAATTAAGTTTTCATGCTTTTGGGACATTGAACGCTGAATAATTTATGGACTAGAATTAAGTTATCAAGCCTTTGGGGAATTGAACGCTGAATACTTTATAGACTAGAATTAAGTTTTCATGCTTTTGGGACATTGAACGCTGAATAATTTATGGACTAGAATTAAGTTATCAAGCCTTTGGGGAATTGAACGCTGAATACTTTATAGACTAGAATTAAGTTTTCATGCTTTTGGGACATTGAACGCTGAATAATTTATGGACTAGAATTAAGTTATCAAGCCTTTGGGGAATTGAACGCTGAATACTTTATAGACTAGAATTAAGTTTTCATGCTTTTGGGACATTGAACGCTGAATAATTTATGGACTAGAATTAAGTTATCAAGCCTTTGGGGAATTGAACGCTGAATACTTTATAGACTAGAATTAAGTTTTCATGCTTTTGGGACATTGAACGCTGAATAATTTATGGACTAGAATTAAGTTATCAAGCCTTTGGGGAATTGAACGCTGAATACTTTATAGACTAGAATTAAGTTTTCATGCTTTTGGGACATTGAACGCTGAATAATTTATGGACTAGAATTAAGTTATCAAGCCTTTGGGGAATTGAACGCTGAATACTTTATAGACTAGAATTAAGTTTTCATGCTTTTGGGACATTGAACGCTGAATAATTTATGGACTAGAATTAAGTTATCAAGCTTTTGGGGAATTGTTTTTCGATTAATCGATTTGTAACGTACGCAATTGCTTCAAATTTGTAACTATTTTTTAAAACAAATAATTTTATTTCATCCAAAAAACTACAAAAAAAAATCAAAATCTATGCCTTAAATAAATACAGCACAACAACTAATCCTATCATCGCACAAACACCAAATAAAGTTGAAATTTGAATCAATTTGTTCCGCTTCATCATTTCCTTTGACGTGTAATTCTCAATCATGGTTAGCGACCTCTCCATTTCAGCCACAGTTTTCAGCTCAAACATGTCAAAAAGTTGCTTAAAATTTTCTCGACATTCGTTGAGTCTGTCGGGTTGATCGTGGTAGACGACAATAAGCTGTGGAACTCTTGCAATCAGCTCAGCATGCTGGAAATTTCTAACACAATCAAAGACTTCCTTTATCAGTTCCTCCTTGTCTGAATTATTCTTACAAAGTGCCAAAATTCTATCAAAATTGAGGATCACTTGACTACTGTGCTGATAATAAGGCCTAGCGTAGCTGTCATAGGTCAGCACCATCGCATAATGACACAGCTCGTGCGTTAATATCCCAAGACCTCTTTGCCTGACATATGGATCAAGCAGCTCTTTTACACATGCTGTAATCGTCGTTGATAAATAAAAATTCCCACGGTCAACAATTGGATCGATCAATTGCGAGGAATCTCGGTTGAAATCGAACACAACACGGAAGTTTCTTGAAGCTGCAACAACTTGAAGGATCGTTTTTATGAATGGAATTAGGCTTAAAGATTCATACGCTGCTTTAATCACTTCTCTGGCACGTTCACGATTGATTAATGTTGAGGTGAAGGTTGAGTGCTTTAAGAGGATCTTGATGTGGTCGTGATCTAAAACTGGAAGTGAATTTTGAGGTTAGTATTGACATTTTACGATGAGTTTAGCTAAAAAAGGCTTTGTTTAGTCAAACGGAGCTGATTTACACTTATTTGGGTCAAATTGAACTAAACAAGGTTGTTTTGGGTCGAGTGGAATAGATTTAGTCACTTTTTAGTAGATCTGAGCTGAGCTAGACTCTGTTGAGTCGAGCTTGACCAAACAAGGCTCCCCAAAAGTCCATAAAACAACAAAAAATCAATTCCAACACCAAAACCTAGCTCAGAACACTCAAAACAACCCATAAACAGTCCACTGACCCATATTTGTAGCCCAACACGTGCTTATAAATGACAACAAACTTTCTACATACCATTGACCGCCTCTAAATCCATCCTTTGTTGATTAATTTGAGTTATTCAAAAATATAAATTAGTTGTTTACTTTTTTTTATGAATGTTATAATATGCCTGCACTGTACATACACAGTACGTTATGTCAACTGAAATGTTCGGAAGATTGAGATAAACTAATGGAATTATTCTCAGCTTCCTGATGAATAAATTGTGATTAAAAAACTGTTCTCATTACTTTGTCGTGAGAGAAAATCTCAATTAGATGTGCATTGAGTACATTTTGAGGCTCTCGGAGATTGTATCAATGTTAAGCATGTGCTTGCTTGAGTCATAGCGTAATCAGAGAAATAATAATAATAAGTAAGGGAATTCCTCACTGAGATGAAGCTTGTCGGTGGGTATGAAAGGTTAAATGAGCATTATTCAGTGCTTAATAAGGTGTGGAGGATTGTAAATTGGAGGTTTAGCTCAAAGCCCTAGTAAATATACTTATCAACTAAATCCTCTCAGCTGACCACATTCCAAATTTATACCGAGAGGGTTAAAAAAACTCAATCATTCAATCAATTCCTCAAAGAATTAGATTCCTTGAGTCTTAGACTCTTAGTTGCACACCCTTTATTCGTAGTTTCATACCCCTTAAATCTCCTTTTCTTAGTTTCATACCCCTTGAGTCTTAGAAGATTCTTACTTTCATACCCTTTATATCTAGGGTGACCATCTGCGTAGTTTTACAACGGACAGTCCTGTATTTCAAAACCCTGTCCTGTATAAATTTGAAAACCTTGTTCCAGGTCCTGTATTTTTTTCACGAAAATTTCCGTTAATTTTCGAATTTTACTCTATGTCCTGTATATTTTTTGAAAAAATTTACCAAAAGTCCTGTATTTTCATGAAAATTAGATGGTAACCCTATTTATATCTCAGATTCTTAGTTTCATGCTGCTTAAATTGCCGGTTCTTCATTTCTTCCCCTTTGAGTCTTGGAATTTCAGTTTCATTCCCCTTGAGTATTAAAATCTTAATTGTATCCCTCTTAAGTCTCATATTCTTAGTTTAATAGCCCTTAATCTGTGATTCCTAATTTCAAACCCCTTAAATCTAAGTTTGCTAGTTTAACACCTCTTAAATTTAAGATTCATAGTTCCGAAACCCTTACATCTCAGATTCCTAGTTTCATACCCCTTAAAATTAAGATTACTAGTTTAACACCCCTTAAATTTAAGATTCTTAGTTCCTAAACCCTTACATCTCAGATTCCTAGTTTCATACCCCTTAAAATTAAGATTAGTAGTTTCATAACCCTTGCATTAAAGTTTCATAGTTCTATGCCCCTTAAATCTAAGTTTCTTAGTTTTACACCCCTTGAATCAAAGTTTCTCAGTTCTAAACCCCTTAAATCTTAGATACTAAGTTTCACACCCCTTAAATTTCAGATTCCAAGTTTCAAATCTTTTAGAAATAAGTCTCAGAATCTTAGTTGTACACCCCCTCCGTAAATGTTAAACGTAATTTATGAACAATCCCTTCAGCTCCATCAAAACTTCCAAGCAATCTTACAGCATGTTATAGACCTCAATTTAATTGCTATCAACAAAACTTCAACGCGTAAACTGTTTTGATAATTAATACGAATTAAGATTAGCTGAACTGACTAAAAGAAAAACACGCGGAAGGTGAGACACAGTGAAGATGAAATGAAACGAAATATTCAAGGACAAATGTATGCTGAAGAGAGTTTTAAGTTTCGGGTTTTGTGTATTGTGAGATAAGATTAAGTACAGTTAGGATTGTCTTGTATTAAAAGTCAAATATGACTGTGATTGGTCATTGAGGAAGCAAATGACGGCAACCATGAGTATACAAGATATTGACTGATTAACCGGAGGGTACACAAGGAGGTTTGACATGATCTGATGATGCTGAGGATCTACAGTAAGGTTAAGTAAAGTCCATTGGTGTTCTGCAGAAGATTTGAATGGGTTTAGTTGAGTTTAAAGGGGTTCAATAGAGCTTAGTAGGGTTAAGTTGAGTTCAGTGTGGTTAAATGGGGTATTGCAAATTTCATCTGGTTCTAATTAAGATTAGTGGGATCCAGGGAGGTCATTAAATAGCTAATAAAATTTGATTGAGTTCCGTAGGTCTGATTGGGTCTAGTTTGGTGTTATAAGGCGCATTAGAGTTCAAAATTGCTTCATATCTCATTACAATCTGTTAATATCCATTAAATTGACATTCCTAGGCAGTATCATTCGATTACTATAAAGCAAAATTGTCAATTTAATTGCTTATTCATTTACATTTGAACCTAAAATTGAATTAATTTTAGAAATTACCTAAAATGAAAGCAATCATTTATAAAGTTCAAATTTCAATACAAAAACTTTCATCAAAGTTTTCCAATAAATTACTCATAAATAATTCGAAAAATCAACAAAGTCCGTCAAATTTTGTCAATTTCAAACTGCGAACGCAAAACTCGTGAATTCCACAATCAATCTTATCAAAATTCATCAATAAAACAACATCCAAACCAGAAATCCAGCCCCTTATCAGTAAGTTTTATTTACAATCTCCAAAAAAGAAGTTTCATAACGATCGAAAAAAATTCAAATTTCAACCGTAGCGATTTCCCCCTGAAACTGTAAATTCTCACAAAAAAACACAATAAGTCCATAAGTCAACCAACTCCAGCGGCACACAGACCATTTGAGTAGCAAAGAAGACTGCAAAACAATAGCAAAAAAATAAAATACAAAAAAAAAACTTAATTTTAGTGATTTTTAAGATTTTGAAGCGACAAGAGAACAAAATAGAATTAAATTTTAAGATAATCTCGAATGGCCAACACAAATTCAATGAAGCAAATTGCTTTGACATGCTCTGGGTGAGTAAAAAACGTCGCTACAAAAAAATTAAAGATTTAATTAATTTTTTCTTAAAATTCCACAGCCACACACGTCCCGTGACCCATTTAGACTTTAGCGACATCACAGAAAGTGGAAATAGTTTCCTAATTTCAGCCTGCAAAGGTAAGCAAATCGCTAATATTGTGGAACTTTCGCCGTCAAGGTTGATTTGGATTTTAGTTCCGTAATTTTACAATATTTTTTTTCCCCTCTGGCATCCTTGAGATCAAGATTAATTTTATAGTTTATTCTCTCTCGCTTATGTACGAGTCATTCAGTGACTGTGCAACAACAAGTTTTTTTCTCCTTTTCTCCAACTTGCACTGCCATGAATTATTCATGAGCCTTAGAATTGCTCTCATGCTTGCTTGTTGTTGTTCCTAAACCTGGAAGTGAAATAAATTTTAATAATTTTTTTTGTGTGTGCGTTCTTTTTTAGATGGAAAGCCAATGCTACGTCTCGGTGATACTGGCGATTGGGTCGGAACGTTTGAGGGACATAAAGGTAATTTAAAAATTAATTGTTGGACAGATTAATGAGGAATGATGGTTTTGTAAACAAATGGAGAAGTTCATGTGATTGTGTGAACATATGTGCTGTTTAGGGATTCTTTGTTTATTGTATTGATGGAATGTGCTTTGTGTTGTGGAAGGTGGACTATTAAGCTATGGGTACTCTATGGCTTAGGATTCATTTATAATTCATTGTGGTCAGGAGTCTAGTGATGAGTCTAGTGGTTACTCTATGGCTTACGACTCAGATATAATCCATTGTGGTTAGGAGTCTAGTGAGCTAAGGACTAATTTTGCTAATCCAGAGATCCAGCTAGACATTGTCCAAACAAGGGGAGGAAGAGGGTGTCCATACTAAGTCTACCTGCATCTTTGTTATCAGTGGTGCTCAACCCATGTGCCACGAAAAAAATCAAGAAATCCCACGAACCGTATGATATGTGCGGTTTCAGTCATGGCTTACCTTCAAGCTGTGTCGTGGCTGAAAAAGGTTGTGCAACACTGTTTTAGATAAAATAGATATTCATCATAAACAACACACCAAATCTAGTTCAGACAGCATCAGCTGCTTCGCAAAACATACAGCTTTTGTCAAAAAAATAAATATAAATCAGTACCGGCATTTTGCATATGGCTAATCCACACCTACGCAACATCTTCTATAAAAGACAATACACTAAGTCTACCTCAATCGTTACTTAATAATGTAGGTCAAGTTTAAAACCGCCACACAGATGACTTAACAAATATACATTTTGTATATATTGATAAGACTGTGACTATATCAAGGTCTTTGACCATGTTCCAGGCGCTTTATTGTCCCCCTCTTAAGCGTTTTAGGACGTGCTCTCGCTACGGTTCAAAACGTTTAAGGGGAGGGACAAGACCCTCCTGGCTACACGTCTGCCATATTCACATAGTAAATCCATCAAATAAACCGTTGGACAGAAAAAACGTTCATCCATTAATTTCCCATATTGAGTCACATAACCGTTACAATCGTCTGTCAATTAAACAATATTTCCAGAACATTCTTAAGTGCATTAAATCACGTTTGTCTGTCTCTGTCGTGACACACTCTCATTAGCATTTTGTAACAACTTTTAATGCTGAATGCTGATTGCGGAAGCTTTTCTTGAATTTTTTTTTTGTTCTCACACTTCCTGTTTTTTGTTTACAAATTATTATCTTATTATTTTTTATCGTTTATTAATTGACTTTTAATTCTTAATTTTACTTTCCTATTTTAGGTGCTGTTTTTGGTGTAGGACTAAATCGTAAAGCGACTTTAGCTGCTTCAGGTGCTGCTGATTTTTCAGGTAAGTAACGGTGCTCTCTTGATCGACAGTAGCTTGTCAAAGTCCCCTCATGATTGACTCTAGCTAGTCACAGGCCCTTATTGAGAGATACAAGCTAGTCACAGGCTCATCCTGAATGGCCAGCGCTAGTAGGCCACAGTCCCTTCTAGACTGACCCTAGCTTGTCGCAATCTTCTCATGACTGACCCTAGCTAGTTACAATCCCCTCAAAACCAACACTGGCTAATCACAGTCCACTCTAGCCTGACCCTAGTAAGTCACAATCCCCTCTAAACTGACCCCAGTTAGTCACAATTCCCTCTAAACTGATCCCAGCTCGTCAAAATTTCCTTTATACTGACCCTAGCTAATCACAGTCCCCTTTAAAATGACACTAGCTAGTCACAGTCCCCTTTTAACCAACCCTATCTGGCTATCATAATCATTAATCGATCATTTATTTATACTTTTAGCAAAACTCTGGGACGCCATCTCAGGCGAAGAAAAGTGTAACTATCAACATAACCATACAGTTAAATCGGTGGCATTTGACGAAGACAGCACTCACCTATTAACCGGCAACAACGAGAAGCTCATAAGAGTCTTTGACCTTAATCAACCGTCAACAAATCCAGCTGTAGAAATTTATGCAGGACATTCTGGTGCTATTAAGCGCGCTCTCTTCTGTCGTAACGATAAATGCATTATCAGCTGTGCTGAGGACAAGGCAATTCGCATTTGGGATCGATCAAGTGGACAAGAGATTCATCACATAGATTTTCCATGTAATCCAAGTAACATTGAGATTTCTAGAGACGGAAGTATTTTGACTATAGCGAATGGAATGAATGTTACTTTTTATGAGGCAAACTCGTGGAATAAGATTAAGGAGGTTGCAGTTCCATCGAAGTTGGCTGACGCGAGTCTTCATCCTGACAAATTGGGTAAGTGTTTGGGAGTTGTTCTATGAGGTATATTTGATATTAATGATCTAAGGCTGGGTATTTTGGGTCTTAATGATCAAAAACTGGGTATCCTGGGTCCTAATGATCAAAAGCTGGGTATCCTGGGCCTTAGTGATCTAGAGCTGGGTATTCTGGGACTTAATGATTCAAGGCTGAATATTATGGTTCTTAATGATCCAAGGCTGAATATCATGGTTGATAATGATTCAAGGCTGGGTATCCAGCGTCTTAATGATCAAAAGCTGGTATCCTGGGCCTTAGTGATCTAAAGCTGGGTATTCTGGGACTTAATGATTCAAGGCTGAATATTATGGTTCTTAATGATCCAAAGCTGAATATTTTTGCTCTTAATGATTCAAGGCTGGGTATCCTGGGTCTTAATGATCATAAGCTGGGTGTCCTAGGCCTTAGTGATCCATGGCTGGGCATTTTCGGACTTAATGATCCAAGGCTGAATATTATGGTTCTTAATGATCCAAGGCTGAATATTATGGTTCTAAATGATCCAAGGCTGAAAATTATGGTTTATAATGATTCAAAGCTGGGTATTCTGGGTCTTAATGATCAAAAGCTTTGTATCCTAGGCCTTAGTGATACAAGGGTGGGTATCTTGGGACTTAATGATCCAAGGCTGAATATTATGGTTTATAATGATTCAAGGCTGGGTATTCTGGGTCTTAATGACCTAAAGCTGGGTGTCCTGGGACTTAGTGATCTAAAGCTGGGTATCCTGGGGTTTAATGATCCAAAGCTGAATATTATGGTTCTTAATGATTCAAGGCTGGGTATCCTGGGTCTTAGTGATTCAATGCTGGGTATACTTGGTCTTAATGATCAAAAGCTTTGTATCCTAGGCCTAAGTGATCCAAGTCTGAATATTCTGGGTCTATATGGTACTTATTTTACATTTTATCAACCTTACAGTGTTTGTCTGCGGTGGTGAAGACTTTAAAATCTACAAATTCGACTATATGACCGGCAATGAGATCCAATCATTCAAAGGGTAAGTTTCTAAAATCAAAATTACTCAAACTTAATCAACCTAACCTTAAAAATTAATTTTAGACACTTCGGACCAGTTCATTGCATTTCCTTCTCGCCAGACGGTGAACTTTATGCAAGTGGATCAGAGGACGGAACTTTGAGGTTGTGGCAAACGACAGTTGGAAAGACTTATGGTTTGTGGAAGTGCATTAATGGCCCTGAAGGTGAAGTAACTATGAATAATTCAGCTCCAAGGGAAGTGACTGCAAATTGAAAAGAATTTTTTTTTCGAGAATCTAAAAAATAAAAATTGATAAAAATTTGATGAAATTTTCTGATCTTTTTAATCTTTAAAGGAAGTAAAATTTGATAGAGAAAGTATCGGAAAAATGATAATAAGCTGTAATTATTAATTTATGAATAAAGAAATTATGATTTTTTTTTAAAATATTTTTTTGAATTTTTTTAAGATAAAAATTCGTAAAATCTTTTGTTGGTTTTTTAATTATTTTTGTTAATTACCTCAAGAAAGGATTTTAGTGGTGTGGAACTGATAGAAATGATTAATGATGCTTGATCCTGAGCATTGCAAATGATGAACTATTGAAGAGCTAGATTTTTTTTTATAACCTACGCAAGACTAGCTTAACGCTATCTTAGCTATCCAAATCTTCAATGATTGGATTATAGATCAGCTATTGTTCATAACTTATCTTAATTGTCGCTATCTGTAGCTTCTTGAGAGGAATGAGCTGACCAATAAACTCATACTCATGGCTTGGCACTTGATTAGGTTTTCTGACGACTATAACTGTCAATTTCAATCAGCATTCACCTCTCCCAACAGTCTGTCCTATTCAGTTGCAGCGATTAGTCATCATATTCTTAAATTTTATCCAAGACACATCAAATTTGATCGTGAATTGTATTTTTAAAATTCTTAAAAACGTTAAAGCTAGTTTAATAAAAAATAAAAATTGTAAAATTTCGGGGGCGCCTACGTAAATTGTAACTAGGCTTTTCGGGGGCGCCTATTATTAAGATTTAAATTTGATGATGATGTCCTTTTACTCCACTTTGAAGTGTAGTGTTGTTACGAAAGTTTTGAATCTAATGCGATTGCTTGCTAATGCCGCAAGCTCACTCGGCCTGTTTCACTAAAGTAGATTATCCTCGATTTCGGATTATCCACTTCAGTTTTTTGGAAATTTCTCCATACGCTTAAGGTTATTAAGAGATCTAATGTGTGGTCTAGATAAAGTACTCTGCTACTTAAATTAACATATACTTAAAATTTTTATATCTTCATTAGTTTGAGAATCATAGCAAAAATCGAAGTTAATCTAGTAGATTTGGCTAGAAAATTGAATGATTAATACTTCTTAGGCGCCATTCACTTATTACGTAACGCTTTTAGGGGGATGGGGGGGGGTGGGTTTAAGATTTTGTTACGGCTCAAACAAGGAAATTTTTTTTTCATACAAATTTTGTTACGAGGGGGGGGGGGGGGGGGGTCTAAAAAGTCATTTTTTCGCGTTCCGTAATAAGTGAACAGCCCCTTACCGAAAAGCAAAAGTTTTAAGTGCCCAGAAATTTCAGGCATAGTTCTCTCTATTATAATCCAAAATTAGAAATACTACACCTCCCATAAAGTTTAAGATATTTGCAAAAAACTGAAATGGATAATCCGAAATTGAGGATAATCCACTTTAGTGAAAGAGGCCGACTATGTTGATAACTCTGCTGAGCTTCTTCTTTGCGAATAGTCAATTATCAAGTAGCATTAAGTCTACCAGGTTTTACAGCTTGTCGCTTTATATCTGCAGGGTCTTTCCTTAATGTGTGACCAATCCAGCCCTATTTCCTTTTGCATAAGGTTTAAATTTGATTACTATTTAGAAAATAAGTGAAAGACGCATAAAAGCTTTACGATGTTTGGGTCAATCCAAAACTTCAACTTTAAACAAACTTCAAATTTTTTCGTAAACCCTTGTCCACCCCAACTTGGACTTCAAATGGCTTCACAAGACTTCACAATCCCCATGAACCCTCCAACAAACCTTCCAATAGCTCTTAAAAAATGTTGGTTTCACACGGCTTCCGTTCTAGAATCAAGAGAATTGTGGGGTAATATAGATTCTTTAAACTTAAACATTCAATCATTCAATGCGGTCATTAAAAACTTAGCCACGTGAGTTGCATGTTGATTTGATGCCAGAAAATGAGGCGTAGCCGGAGGAAGAGAAAGGAGTTGGAGGGGAGTTAAGATTACTCCCCCCCCCCCCCCTTCACTTTTTTGAAATTTTTTATCAATTTGCTAGAAGGTCATTCATTATGACGTCCAAAATTAACGGTTATTTTACAAAAAAAAACAATGGATCTCCAGGAATTTCTATTGTTCTTTTCTTGCTTTCCCTTACACCCTTCCTCCCCTCCCCCCCTCCCCCCTCCTGGGTGTTTTGAGAAAAAATCTAAAGCCATATTTCAATATAGAAAAATTTCAGGTTTTTGGTTTCTGGCTATGCCTAGGGAGGAGCTGTTAGAACTCCTTCTTTTTAACCTCTTCAGCAAAATTCTAATAACTGCAGTGTTCTGTAAATGCATTTCTATCATCTAATTTACTGGACAAGAGGTTAAAGCTAAGGCTAAACCAACACGTTAAAACATCACGTCTTTTTAAAAACACTATTGTTATCTCCGCAGATTCTTCTTCTATTTTAAATATATTTTTTGCCTGCAAGTTTACGATAGTCTGATGTTTTTATTGCTGAATTATTTAAATGACTTTTTGTCTTCTCTTTTTTTATTGAAAATTAAGTTTTTTCTTCTCATATTTTCGGTCAGTTTGTGTTTTGAGTGTCGATCTTAAAGATCACAAAAACTTTTTTATCTTCAAAGTTTTAAGATAATTTCAAAATTTGCGATAGTTGTGCAATAATTTTGTAAAACTTTAACTTTGTGGCCGGAAAGTGACAATAATTGTACTAATTTTGCTCATTTAAGCTGAATTGTGATCAAATTTAGAGTTTATAACAAGTTATTCTTGAGATTCGCTAAAAAGCACAAAAAAAAATAGGAACGTTAAAAAACAAATGTGTCAGTGACGTTGCATAAAACATTGAGAATCTTAAAAGCTTTTGAAGGCTGCGATTTAAAATGAATCTTTGGATTTATATTTTATTTTGTGGATTATTTTGGCTAACAAATCAAGTCTCGGCTCAGACTGCAAATTGTGATTACAAATATGAAAATCACTTGATTCAAGGCTTTAAAACCTTAAATACTTCTTATTATAGATGTGATTTGGACACAAGACAAGCAAATTATAATGAAAAATTAACAAGAATTGATGGACAACATGGAACTGGACTTAGTGATGCTGATGTGAAATCGATTGTTCCTTATAAAGACAACAAACTGAGAACATTTTCATCAATTTTCTGCCAAAAGTTTTCAAATCTTGAAGTAATTTATTTAAGTGATGCAGAACTGGAATTAATTGATGAAGATTCGCTGTCAAATTGCAAGAATTTGGATAAAATGACCTTATTTGGAAACAAGATTCGAGAAATTCCAAAAAATTTGCTGACTCAAAACTCAAATCTGACTTATTTTTTGATATCTGACAATCAACTGACAACGTTGCCTGAAAATTTGTTCCTCAATCAAAAGGAACTTAGGAATTTAGATTTAAGTGATAATCAAATAAATGTCCTGCCCGGCAACATTTTTCGCCCACTTGTAAAGCTTGAAGTGCTAATTTTGTCCAAAAACAAGCTCCAATCAATTAATCCAGATTGGTTTGTGAATTTGCAGAATTTAAAGTGGTTAGGTTTGGATGAAAATCAAATTGTAGAAATTCCATCAAAATGTTTTGCATCTCTTAAAAATTTGGAAATATTTTGGATTAACGAAAACAGAATTAAATCTTTAAAATCGGACAACTTTAATGGTCTTCAAAATTTACACACATTGTCTTTGTACAGCAATGACATTTCAGACCTGCCAGCTGGTGTCTTCACTCAGTTGACAAATTTGCAAGAGTTAAGTTTAAATAGCAACAAGTTGACAAAAATTCACTCTGATTCCTTCGGTGTTCACAGCCAGTTGGCAAGAGTTTATTTCCAAGGTAACAAAATCAACGCAATTGATCCAAAAGTCATCGACAAAACATCAATTTTAATCCTCAACATGGCAAATAACATCTGCAGTCAGCTCCTTACAGAAACTAAAAGTAAAATAAAACAAGATCTGAAAATGTGCTTCGAAAATTATCAACCGCGAAGTCATCATCAAGCTCAGTGTGGTAAATCATTGAAAGGACAAGGAAATATTATCGGAGGAACTCAGATTAGCAGCGGTGACTTTCCATGGTAAATTTCTAAAGTTCATTAAATATTTGTAACGCTAAACTTAAGTTTTTTAAAAGGATTGCAGCCTTAATGACACCAAAAGGAAAATACTTCTGTGGAGGAACTCTTGTGTCCAGTCATAAAGTTGTCACAGGTTTGTATCTTGATTTTGTGAAGTTAGGAGTAGTTGTAAGTCTTTATACCGCGAAGCATATGTCTAGATCAGTGGTGGTCAACCTTTTTTATGCGACGACCTACTTGGTCGTAAGCAATTACCAAAACCGCATACAGCATACGTGTTGTGGGATATTCCGATTTTTTTCACGGCACACGGGTTGGTCATTACTGTTCAAGATAGTAACTGTTAAATAATCATCCACAGCTGCTCACTGCATCCAAGAAAAGAAGACTTATAATCGCTTAGCAGCCGGCGACTTGATTGTTCTCCTGGGTGCACATGATTTGGATAATTCTATTGAAATTGGAAGAGTCTCTCATGCTGTTTACAAAGTCAATGTTCATCCTGACTGGAACACCTTAACACAGGCATATGATGCTGATATTGCAGTTTTGGTACTTGAAAAGGAAGTCACATTCAACGAGCATGTTCAGCCATTATGTTTAGCAAGCTCTAGCTCGAAAGCTGCATCTATTTCATTTGGTGCTGTCATTGGCTATGGCAAAAGTGAAGATGACACTAAAGACCATGAAAACATCCCAAAAATCCTTTCCACTCCAATTCATAGTAATAGTGACTGCTTACATAAGTATGAAGACCTAGCATTGCTCTCAAGTGGACGAACATTTTGTGGTGGTTCAGGCACAGGTGTTGGTGTCTGCAGAGGTGACAGTGGAGGTGGATTAATTGTGACTGATGGAAGTGCTTATTATCTTCGTGGTGTTGTGTCATCATCATTAATTGGAGGACCTTATGGATGTGACGTCGACATTTATGCTGTATTTACTGATGTGACTAAATTCGTCGATTGGATTAATGGAATTCCAACAGATCGGTTTGCAGTACGTCGTAAGAAGTAGAACAGATCCGCATTTTGGCAAAAATAAAACTTTTTGGTGATGGAGTTATTTTTTTTTAAAAAAAATAAATTTTTGGGGTTATGTTACTAACACCACTAAAAAAATGGGTCTGGAATCAAAAATATTTTTCTTAAATTAATTTGTAATTTTCAAAAAAAAATTATTCAATAAAAATGATACTTAATTGTCAATAATTATCTAGCAAAACTGTACAACTTTGTATTAATGTTTTAAATAAATTTCTTATTTTTCAGATTTTTTTTAATTGAAGCAGTTAAGTGCCTTGCTGGTCGAAAAGTTAAGGCGCTTGGCTCAAATTTGGGATGGTAACTCGAAAGTCGTCGGTTCGAATCCAGCCATTTCCAAATTTGTTCCTTTGCCACAGCGGGCATCACTTTGGTCATATTTTGTCTTATTTCGAGAAATTTCTTCAATTTGCTAGGTTTAAAAAACAATAAAGAGACCTGGAAAATTTTTAAATTTTGGTCTAATAATACCAGAGCTGCCCAACCCATGTGCCGCGGCACACTAGTGTTCGAAAAGGCCAACGAGCTGTGTAGCTTTTTAAACACTGATGGACTTTTGAGGTAGAAAATTCGCAACATTAGCGAAGGTTTGAGATTTAAAACCTGAAAAATCTGAAACATTTAAAATTGGAAAATTAATAAAAAATATATTTTTCTTTTATTTTTCAATAATCTTTAACCAAATGACTTTATTTCTCTTATTTAATAATTTTATTTATACAATAATATTCAATTATTCAATGGAGTTCATTTTTTTTTAAATTACAATTTTTTTTATGGTTTCAAATAACTTTTTAGTGTCAGAGCTGGTCGCTTGATTTCTACGACTAAGAGATTGACTTAATCAAATACAGAATAATGCTTAGGTTTAGTGACAGCATGTTCTATCGATTTATGAATTATTAACAGAATAAATCTTAATTTGAAACTTTAATAAATCAAAAAAGACACAAACTGAAATTCCTAGTATTTATGAAAAGAGGCAGACATTTTTTGTATGATCGACTTCTTAATTAAGATCCAATTTACACAAAAGAATGATTTTAAAGTCATTTTAAAGATTTTAAACTTAAAAGATTTTTTTTTTCATTTTTATTTTATTTAAATATTTTAATTCTTAATAGAGCACACATTGGCCGTTCATGTAACATTTTATTATGTTTAAAAACTTACTAATTCCTTTTAAACGGTTCACTTCTTACGCTTGCTTTTTAGGGGTAAGGGGGGGGGGGGGGGGGGGAAGGATTGGTTTTTTAAAGCAACACAAGTAAATTTAAAAAAATTCATTCAAAATTTACAATGATTAGGGAGGTGGGGAAAATGGGAGAAATGGGGGAGGTTGGGAAGTGGGGTGGGGTGAAATGTTTTTTTGCATGACGGAATATGTGAACGAACCTCAAATTTTTAACAATTTTCTATTAAAAAAATGTTAAAACATTCAAAAATAATTGTTGAAAAATGAAAAATCTTAAAAATGATTTCTCGAATAGCACAAGTCGGTTAATCGAATAGAAATCTGGCGCCGAGTTGGCATTATGCTGGCTTCGATGTAAAACCAGAGTTACCCCCGATTGGAGCAAGATTTCCGATCGATTAGCCGACTTTTTTGGATTTTATTCAATTTCACAAATTGCGTTCATTTTACAATAAAATGAATTTTATAAATTATTTTTTTAATAATTGATAACAACTTAATTTTATTTCTTTTTATTTTTTTACTATCACTAGTAATTGATTATTAAATACACTAAGTGGCATGGACAATTGTGATTAAATTATGACACAAAATGAATACTTTTAAGTTTTTTTTTGCTGCGATTTATTTTTCTAATTTAAATATTTTAAAATTTCATTTTTTGAATTTTTAAAAAGCTTAGAAATGTTTTTAAAAAGATTTCACAAAATTAATCTTTTAATTGTTTTGAAGTTTTTTATAAATTTTTTTTAAATCGTTTTTAAATTTTTTATAAATTGTTTATAATTTTTTAAAAGTTGTTTTATAATTTTTTATAAACTTTTAATAATTTTTTTAAAAACTGTTTTCAAATCTTTTATAAATTCATTTTGAATTGTTTTTAAATTGTTTATTTTTTTTTATAAATTTTTTAAAATTGTTTTATAAATTAAAAGTTGAAAATTGGAACGATTTTGAAATATAGAAATCTGGAATATTTTTAAAGCGCTTTTTAAAATTTTAAATATTTTGAAAAAATTTTATTTTTTAATTTCAAAATTTTTGGATTTATATTTCCCACATTTATTTGCTTTTTTATTCTTTTAATTAACCCTCATTGAGTTAAATAAAAAAAAATCAAATTTCCATAAAATCTTCAATTTAATTGCATATTTATGGAATTAAATTTTTAAAAGCTTTTGTTATCATTTGAAAAAAAAACCTTTTAAATATGCATGTAAATTATTTATTTAATTTAATTACACCAACATCTGTCACTGCATGATAAGTCACCGGTTGTGTGTTACGTGCTGATGAAGTTCAGAAAGTGTATTTATTTGCATACTTTTGATGAGCTTTTTTTTTGATGAATTGTTGATGATTTTACCTACCAACAGCGTCACTTTCAGAGAAGCTCGATTAGTCGAAATTCTGAAAATAAAAAAAATATTCTTTCATAATTTTATTTGGATTTAAAAGGTTTTTTTTTTTAATTTTGAATTATTATTTTTAATTAAAAACTTATTGCACAATGTTAAGACGAACTAGTTTGACCATTTTGATCTTTAAACAAATCTCAAACCTTATAATTGAGTCTAATTCTGGCTGAATAAACTCCTGGTGTGTCTAAGCTTGTCAATCGGATCAATAAGATGCTTTTTTACAGACTTAACTGAAAAATCAACTACTCAGAAGTCATTGACATCCTCAACAAAACAATAAACAAACCAAAAAATCGGACCAAAAATTGAACGCAGCAATTTTAACAACTTTTGTTTACATTCAAATCCAAAATTATTTTTTTAAGCTTTTTTTCTTTTTCTTTGAAATTTTCCACGCTGATTGAGAAATAAATTGTGTCACACACTCGACCTTCGACAAAAAATTGCTATACATTCATAATTTCTAGTTCAAATCGAATATAAAGCAATTAAATAACTTTTTAAAGTATCAGAAAAGAAATAAAATATAAAATAAAAAAATCGGTGCGGTGTGCGTTTCAGAAGCAAACTCATTAACCGACTTTTATTTTCATTATGTGCGAATGAACTTGTGAACGTAGACAAAAAAAAAGAGTTTTTTCTCATTGCGTGTCGCACAATATGGAATAAATATGTGTGTTTAATATGAGCGGAATATGTTTTTTTTTTGTAATTATCAGAATTGATTTGAGGTCGTTGATTTGTTAATTGAAATGTGAGCGGTTTTGACGGGGTTTTATTGATGATTGGGGAGTGCGGAATTTACTTGGAATTTTTCAAAAAGTTGTTTTTTGTTCAATTTTTCCTAGGCTAAGACTAGGTTGAGTCTAGGTCAAGACTAGATTGAGTCTAGATTAAGACTAGGTTGAGTCTAGGTTAAGACTAGTTTGAGTCAAGGTCAAGACTAGATTGAGTCTAGGTTAAGATTAGGTTGAGTCTAGGTTAAGACTAGATTGAGTCTAGGTTAAGACTAGGTTGAGTCTAGGTTAAAACTAGGTTGAGTCTAGGTTGAGACTAGATTGAGTCTAGGTTAAGACTAGATTGAGTCTAGGTTAAGACTAGGTTGAGTCTAGGTTAAGACTAGATTGAGTCTAGGTCAAGACTAGGTTGAGTCTAGGTTAAGACTAGGTTGAGTCTAGGTCAAGACTAGGTTGAGTCTAGGTTAAGACTAGGTTGAGTCTAGATTAAGACTTGATTGAGTCTAGATTAAGACTAGGTTGAGTCTAGGTTAAGACTAGGTTGAGTCTAGGTTAAGACTAGGTTGAGTCTAGGTTGAGACTAGGTTGAGTCTAGGTTAAGACTAGGTTGAGTCTAGGTTAAGACTAGGTTGAGTCTAGGTCAAGACTAGATTGAGTCTAGATTAAAACTAGGTTGAGTCTAGGTTGAGACTAGATTGAGTCTAGGTTAAGACTAGATTGAGTCTAGGTTAAGACTAGGTTGAGTCTAGGTTAAGACTAGGTTGAGTCTAGGTTGAGACTAGGTTGAGTCTAGGTTGAGACTAGGTTGAGTCTAGGTTAAGACTAGGTTGAGTCTAGGTTGAGACTAGGTTGAGTCTAGGTTAAGACTAGGTTGAGTCTAGGTTGAGACTAGGTTGAGTCTAGGTTAAGACTAGGTTGAGTCTAGGTTGAGACTAGATTGAGTCTAGATTAAAACTAGGTTGAGTCTAGATTAAGACTAGATTGAGTCTAGGTTAAGACTAGGTTGAGTCTAGGTTGAGACTAGGTTGAGTCTAGGTTAAGACTAGGTTGAGTCTAGGTTAAGACTAGGTTGAGTCTAGGTCAAGACTAGATTGAGTCTAGATTAAAACTAGGTTGAGTCTAGGTTGAGACTAGATTGAGTCTAGGTTAAGACTAGATTGAGTCTAGGTTAAGACTAGGTTGAGTCTAGGATGAGACTAGATTGAGTCTAGGTTGAGTCTAGATTGAGTCTAGGTTAAGACTAGATTGAGTCTAGGTTAAGACTAGATTAAGTCTAGGTTAAGACTAGGTTGAGTCTAGGTTGAGACTAGGTTGAGTCTAGGTTAAGACTAGGTTAGTTCTAGATCAAGACTAAATTGCATCAAGATCAAGACTAGGTTGAGTGTGAATGAGGACTTAGTCAAGAATTCCTAGTTTAAGACTAGGTTGAATCTACTTTTAATTATTTTAAAAAACACTCAGAACCAATCAATTCAATGCTACAAACATCCAATAGCACTCAAAACATCATTCGCTCTTTATTCCCACAAAGTTTTTATAGCTTTCCACAGCACTGAACAAGAAGAAGACAAAAGAATACATAAGCAAGAGATAATAAGGCCACACGAGTTGTAAACAATAAAAAAAAATGTATTGAAATGTTTGCAAAGTTGAGCAAAAAAAAGTGCCGCTAATTGTACCTTCACTGTGTGTTTCTTATCAACAGACATTGTCTATTGCTATCTATAAAGCATAACTCCATCTCTGATCCTTACTTTTTTGTTATGTTTAAACATTTCTTTGAGCTTCTATTTGTGAATAATTTTTATAGTTTTTTCTTAATGAA